CCGGTGAAGTTGAGCGAGTTGTCGCAGAGTTATCCTGGGTGTGTTAATCCAGCTTCGTAGTACAGGCCTCAGGTAAGATTAAAAAGCAATAATTAGAGCAAAAACTAATATAAGTGTAATGTCAGGCACCACACTGCTAGCCAGATCCTCTACCAAGTATGTGAGATTCAGGGGACTCTCATATTGGCATGTTTTCCCTGCACAAAAAAACAATGACAGGCATGTCTAGAAATATGAGATCAATTCAGTATAGATGTCCGTGTGGGGCGTATACTAACAAAGAAAGGCTGAGAGGCCCACATCAAAACATATTATAAGCAATATTTTCATGGATAATGAAGCCTAACAAAGTAACTAAGAGATGACAACCAAATTGGATAAGAGATAATTGTTTTTAGTGTTATTTGCAGCTAATTTAAGACATGGGTCAAAACAGACCCAGTCACATAGTGGGTGCGTTGTGAAAGCTAACACAGGAGGAAGGTTAACCTTATCTGAAACTCAAATCTGCTTATTGCCAAATAATTTAGCTAAATCTGTGATATCATGATTCTTTTATTACATTCAAATGATGTGATTTAAAGGTTTCTGCATACTGTGAAGATTAACAGATCACAGATGTGAACCAAAAAAGCAATTTTTCACAATAACAAGCACTATTTCTGTTCAATTTTTACATACACAAACTCCATTCATCAGGTTTTGGGAGCAGCTACAAACAAATCAGAACTACAAAAACACTGATGAATTCTAGTTTGCCTGTAAATTTCATCCTGCTCACAGTTTACACACAAATTAATTCCGCTTATATATCATGAATGACATCCAATGAGAATAAAAGTATGTGTTCAGTACTGTGTACTATAAGCACAGCATAGTTATAGACAGGTAGTAACCACATTTAAAGTGGACAGGACAGACTCGCATCAATGATAATATCAACAATGGTAATAAAAGTCAAGCAGGTCTAAACCATAGACTGTATGTAAAATGGACGCTGTCTGCCTCCTTGCTGGGTTAAGCCACCGCATGAACAGCACCCTCTGGTGACGGGCTGCAGTATAGGTCATAAATCCCACCTCCTCCTGCAATCCCTATGGAGCTGTGGACAAATTTTAGAAATTAATTACACAGAATATAAAATTTTCTTCCCCTGGTCGCGATGTTGACATGTAGTTACTGTAAGACTCGTTTGTGCTCAAGTCCTCTTTTTTTCTGCACAGCTCCATTTTTAAAAGTTATTAGGGGGTTCATGTGTTCTATGTTATAGAACACACCTATGGGTGTACAAAGATTGCGTAGCTTACCCGGGAGAGTCGCTGTTTGAGCTGAGCATCACTTTGCGACTCTCCCACTGAATGCTTACAATACTACTGTGCAATGTTGGTTTCAGGAGGTCAAGAAAAAAAACAGGAAATACCGAGAACTTTTTGGCTTCAAATCTGCATACTGGCGGAAGGTGGAACCAAGTCGTCCATAGTATTTACAGTCAGTGATCTAAATTGAGCATTATTAGGTGTTGACAGAGGCATGTCTCATATAGAAGTTGGATATGGGCAGGTCTACAAAAGCAGGTCATCTGCAGAAACAAGCACCAAAAACCTACCAGACGAGAGAGTTCAATAATAATGTAGAAAATGAAGAAAGATTGATCAGGAGTGAATGTTTGTGTGAGTTTATAGAGAAAGCCAATGACAATAGATCTTGTGATTTTTTGTAAATCTTAGAACATCTACAGTAAAACCTTCCTAAAACCACTCTAGAAAGGTTATAACCAGAAATGGTGACCTTGACGTCTTCTTGTACACACTGTTGTAAACATCCAGGCATGGTTTCAACTGGAAAATGTTTCCATGCTAGTTAAGTATTGTTGTAAATAGCTGTGCAAACAAAAGTCTCAGACCATTAAACAGCTCTGAGCGTAATCTGGGCTTTCATCAGAACTTAGCTGAACATGAGAGGTCAGCACAATGATTGTATATTTGCATAAAACATTACAGAACATGACCAGAGGGAGACTTTCATTTAACAAAATCAATCATTTATAAAAGCATGGACTGACACAGGGACAAGAGTTTTCAAACTAGTTGAGTTTTGTTCTTTAACTGCGAAAAAACACAGTACAAAGAAAAAGTCTTCACTGTATACTGAAGATTGTGTCCCATAGTTTTTAAGGAAACTTGGACTGTGCCATTTATGGCATTTGTGTTTGTTAGTTTTTGATCAGTGATGCTGGTGGGCAAGGGGTAGTTTTGCCCTTAGCTCTTTCAATCCTTCAACTCATTTATCTGCAAAATCTGCCCTTGCCCTAAAAGCCTGTAGCACTGAGACTGATAACAGTCCAGTGTATGCAACAGATCTTGTTCTTCTCAATCCAGCATAGTGCCGATTGATAACAACTACTGAGATTATGGTCTGCCTGTGATGCAGAATTTATAACACCAGTAAATGTATCAGATTATAATATTTCTGGGCATCTTAGCACATATCAGGCAGGTTAGTGTCCGCAGATTGAGTTAAAATGTCTCTTTTCACATCTTTATATTCAGCACACTAGCAAACTAAGTCTAATAAAGCAAGCTTACAGAGGCTTCAAATAGCTTCTAATGTTACCCTACTGAAGAGATCAAGAATGTGAAATGAGTCAGTTCTCTCCAAGCTGTCCAAAGCAACCTTGTTTTCATTTTTCTTCCCAACGTTCTGCCTCTGAAAAAAAGTTCCTTCCATCACCAGATACAAGACTTCGCATTCATTTTCAGTGAGACAGAGACATTTGTCCAGGTTCCTTTTCAAAATAGTTAAAGCTTTATGTCTTGCATTTAACAGGGCCTTAAGCCTGCATTAAAGATTGACATGAAAATCTGTTCCCAAAAAGATGGGATCCTCTCAAATTTTATAAACTTTGATAACTGTTAGACATTTCTGATTATGCTGCCAAATACTGCTATATAAAACAGAGGGACATCATTAAAGTTGGGATTCTGTGGAAAAAGTCTTTTCAGTATTCAGTTCAGTTAAACTTTATTGGATTCTTGTAATTGTTTCATTTTAAGTTAAGTTTTAATTTAGATGATTACAACTTCTTAAATATGAAATTCCGAAATCCAATGTCTGAAATTATTTGAATATTTTCTAAGATCAATCAGTAAGTTGACTACAAATAAAGGTACCCTTACCAGAAAGAAGTATGTTGGGCTGTACTTCAAGTATACTGTTTTTAAACTAAGCATGCTTTCAGTTTGCTTTTTGTGGACTTTTCAGAGATATGCTCAACAAAGTTAATGTTAAGTATACTTGGCTTGAGCTAAGAATTATACTAAAAGTCTAAATATATTTAACATATACTTATACCTAAACTTTTAATCAAGATATACTTAGGTCTGTATTTGCGCCTTGGGTTTAAGTATACTGGGTAAGTGAATATTTCCATACATCTTTTTAAGAGTATACTGTCATAGAGTATACTCTTAAAAAGATAAGCAGTACAAGCCAAGTATGCAAATATGTACTACTTTTGAAATAATAGCATAACAAAAAGGTAATTTTAATTGCGCTTCAGAGTCAGTGCACAGGTAGCCGAGTGGATTAAAGTACACCCCTTCCAGGGGACTTGGAACTATGGTTCCTGCTGTAGTCACTGGTTCGATCCCTGTCCTGACCATATGCTGCATGTGCCCTCAAGCTCTTGAATGGACTTTCTTGACCAACCTCTGAAGAAGCAGCCATTGTTGTTGCTTGAGCACATTTTCTCACCACATTTTCCCTCTTCCTGTCAACTTTCCAACAACATGCTTTGTTTCTGCAAACAGCCAGGCTTTCAGCAGTGACCTTTCATGGCTTACCCTCCTCATGGAGGGTGTCCAAATTCTTTTTTTTGGACAAATGTCAAGGTAGCTGACTTCCTCACGACTGTGTACAGAAGTGGACCAGGAGATTCATGGTATTAATACTGTTTGGATAGTGATTCACTCAAACTTGAAATTGCATATTGTTAAATTTTTAAATGTTTTTTTATTTTATTTTTTTATTACTTTATTAAATTCATAAGCCATAGTTAACTGAATATATGAAACATTTAAGCAGACGACTGATGATTTAAGAATGAATCATTTTCATTTCCTAAAAACTGATGAAAAAAAAATCAACATTTTGCAAAAGTCTAACTTTTTGAGAAATGTTTGTTTTCTTAACATGAAACCCTTCTTGTTTTGAACAGTCATTTCATGGAAAATCTAAATAAAAATGTCATTTAACAAGAAACTCGTATTAAAATATGAGCAGATAATTAGTTGTTTATACAGCAGCATGTTGAATCTCCTAAGTTCATCACTAAAATGAGCTCATACTGTGCTGGAGGGGAGGGAAAATTACTTAAACCTTGTCTCTTTACAAACATTTCTAGACGGTTCCTTTTGTGAGTTCTAAGCCAAGGTTATCTAAATAGATTAGTCTGTGTGTAATGATGCTGTGTAGAAATCACATCCCATTACCAGGAATCCCATTAAAATTTTAATGATTAATAACTAATTTACATTATGAACTAAAATGCACTGCTATCCAAATTTGGCAGAAGCTACAAGAAGGAGACTCAGCCAACATTAGGTAAAGAAAAGGTCTTTGGAAATCAGTATCAAGGCTTTTACACAGAAATGCTGTTCACCCCGGATCTGTGTTTTTCCTGAAGTAGCTGGGAGCAGAAAGATATTTGGGTTGACCCTGTGATGTTAAATGGTTGTGTCATGCTCAGAAGTTCCTGTAATGAGTCTTGTTGACTGTTCACTGAACCTCTCATATGGCCTCAGGCTCGTCCTGTTTGGTTAGGTTGATTATAAAACCAACCCTTTGCATTACAGTCCCCCTTATGCATCTTGGACTGCAGAATGACTCCATCACCTTGACAAACTGACTTGTTCTGCATTTCCATCCATCTGAAAGACCACATTGGCTGTGTTTGTGTTCTCATTCCATTTGATTACAGATAAGTCCACTCTGCTCCTAATATGGAGTTACCAGTATTCAGTGATGGTGTGAACCTCGCTGCATACAGACCCAGTCTTTCCCTGTCAGTGGTCAATGGGAAAGAAACACCTGGAGGGTTTGCTGAGTCTGGCTATTACCAGTGTTATGGTGACATGAGCAGTGTAGCTTCCAATGGATCTATTCAAACTGGGTATGAGACTCTGGATTCCCCGCCACACTATGACTTCTATGCCAACACTGAGGTGTGGGGCCGTCGGAGGCGTTTCAGACCATCTCTGTACCAGCTGCATGCAAACTTTGAGGTAAGAAACCTCTGCTCATTGACTCATGTTCTCATTTCCTTACAGACCAAAAACTGCAGGTTGACCTCTTGCTTAATTTAAAAGTAAACTTAACCCACTAGTAACCACTGAATATGTTACGTGATGTGAAATTCTCCTTTTTTGACTTATCAGGCAGCTGTCTGTCTGTACGGAAATATAGTTGTCTGATTTATAACTTAAGGTATCCCCCCTGTTTCATTTCTTAAACTTTTCTTCCTTTTTACGTTTTTTTGAAGTTTGACACTTTAAATATGAAGCGAGATTTCATTTTAAATAAGAGTCACTTGTCTTTTTTGAATTATTATTAGAATGACACCAGACCTCCTTTGTATGAGGAGACAACAGGTGGAAGAGACAGCTCTGGAGAGGATGAGGATGAGCAGAAGGAGCCACCACCTGAACCAACTCGCTTTGGCTGGGTGCAGGGGGTCATGGTAGGCATATTAATGTGACTGGGCTGGGGTTTTTGAAAAGCACTTTGGTGCCAGGACTCTCGAGCTAATACAGACTAATTCACATGTTATACAAAAACATGACCAAAAAGTCACTCCTGTTCTTTTCAAAGGAACTCTGATGCACATGAAAATATGATAACTGTCTTGATACACAACAGTTCATTTATAACGAAAAAACATCCTAATCTTTCCACCGAGGGATTTGTTCACAAAATCTTTCTCAAATGACAAGAGGCAGACACCAGAGTTACAGATATGTAATGAAGGTACATTTAATTCTTGCAATGCTTCAAGCAGGTGCACAGAAGTGGTCCCTGATTGTGGGGTTCGCGGGTCTTTTATCCTGGCTTTTTCAGTCTTCTCAGATCTTCATCATCATTTACAAATATGGTCAACGGACAACTTAAACAAGTAACCCTTGTCCTTGGATTCATTCTATTTATCATGCGTCCTTGCATAGTTTCAACATCACAGTGACCTTATCCTTCACATTATCTTTGTTTTACCACCTCTATGCACATCTTATATAATATTCCATCAGTGTTACACTTTGTCAAAATTATTTTCTTTCTCAAGAACCTTTACTTATTCATCTGAAATCCTCTGATTTTATTTTTCTAAATAATAGAGGTACGGCACAGTCTGTCCTATCAAAATGAGTGTGAAGAAATATTCAACAAATTTCTTAACTCTATACAGTAGTTTGAGTATGTGATTTTTATACAAATTGAAGTGACACTGATTCAAAAGTTGATAAGTTTGTTTTTATAAGACACCTGGGTTAAATAAGTGCAACGAAATTCTCTCTGCTCACGATTCATTTGGTAATCCCTCTCTGTTGGCAAAATACTCCAAATAATTCAGCTTTGGGGTAGTGACTGAGGTGCCAAAATGGCAACTTCTCAGGGAAAAAAAGATCAAAGATTTATAACCAGCAAACACACCAAAGGCAGAATAAATATAAACAGCTCCTGTGTCTTAATCAGATTAATTTAGCAATTATGCCATTGTTTACTTTCAGATCCGGTGCATGCTCAATATCTGGGGGGTTATCTTGTACCTGAGGCTTCCTTGGATCACTGCTCAGGCTGGTGTTGGTATGTAGACTGTTTTTCAGGTAGTTCAATCTCTGTCCGAGTCTTTTCTGTTTTTCACTGTGTCCTCATTGTCCTCAGGTTTGACTTGGGTGATTATCCTGCTGTCTTCTTGTATAACTGGGATCACTGGTCTCTCAACATCAGCTATTGCCACCAACGGAAAGGTCAAAGGAGGTCTGTTCACAAAGCAACACATGCAGAAGTCTCTTGGTCATCTGTTTTTATCACTTTAAACTTAAAATGATTTACATATTCAGTAGAAACACCAACTTTCTCATATCTTCATAATCATCCAATGATTTTCTGACTTTATTCTCACACATCTTCAGGGGGGACCTACTTTCTGATCAGCCGCAGCCTTGGTCCAGAGCTTGGTGGGTCCATCGGTCTGATTTTTGCCTTTGCCAACGCTGTAGCTGTTGCCATGCACACTGTGGGCTTTGCTGAGACTGTGACAGATCTAATGCGAGTATGTAGAGTAGCTTCAGTGAGACTGTAGAGTGAACAAATTTCCAATCTGTTCATACTCACTCATTAACTAACCGTCCTTTTCAGGAACATGGCGCTGTCATGGTGGATCGAACCAATGACATCCGCATCATTGGCGTCATCACTGTTACATGTCTGCTTGGAATTTCAATGGCTGGCATGGCATGGGAGTCAAAGGTGAGACACACAGAAATTTACACAGAATTATGAATGTTTCTATGAGTATTACAGAAAAACTTATGGCAAGTAACAAGATTTAGAACTATTGTTTTTCTATTTAGCATGACACAATTATGTTTGCTTTCTATAACCACCAATTTTATGTTGATGAAGTTAGGTGCTGTTCTGAGCATTATTTGTGGCTATAGAGTGGCTTTTTGGTTGAGGTTCATGTGTGGAGATGTAGACCGCTGTGTATTGCTATCATGCAGTCGTTACTAAAGTTGGTATAACGAGAGAAGCAAGCAGTTGGCAACATTCATCTCTCGAGGGGATGTCTAACTTGGTGTTATGGTGTGTTAGACTGGAATATAGTGCTACGCTGGAATATCCCTTTAACTCAAGTATAAGTTTCACAACTTGTCAAGGATCTTTTTCCATGTATAGCATCAGTCTCTCTCCAATTAAGTTCATGTGGATCACTCAAAAGTGATCCCTTACCTGCCCCAAAAGCAGTATAAACAAAGATAGGTTGATTAATTCAGATAACCACACACAGGAAAGGAATCAGAGTAATGGTATTAACTTTTGATGATAAGAGGTCTGACCAAAATTTAATGTTAATGTAATGTCCAGTTTGCTTACGTGTCAGTCAATTGTTTAGCTTTGTGACATAGCAGGTCAACCAGGAGACAACCCAGGGGGCAGAGCTGGACATGTTTACCTCAATAATTTGATTCCTGCTCAACTCAATACTTGTAAACTGGGACAAGGACAGTGGTCCAATTAAATCGCCTGATACAGCTATAACTGTAGCTTGACTTGACTGTATACGTTGATGTACCAAGTGCTTCTTCTCTCCTCTAGCTCATTAACTGAAATCATTTATTATGCTATTTCACATTCACCCATTCACACCACGTTCATATACTCATGGCAGAGGATTCTGAGTAAAGTGTCAGTATAAACTACCTCCATTTACACACTCATACATTGCTGGTTATGACATCAATGTCATAAATAGCAGTGTTGGTGTCTTGCCCGACATGTCACTTAATTGCTCAAATGGGGCTGGGGTTGGATCACCAACCAACCAAGGCACATTCAACTCTGCCAATGACCCCCAGCTGACCCATTCTGATAAAATTAGGACAGCAGTGATATACAATGAGGCCCCATCCCCTTTAGAATCCAACCTTCATTTGGCTGTTGAGTAAGAGAAGCTTGTCCAGGTGAGTCTCAAATATCAGTCTAAACTCTTTGGCAGCAGGTTTCTCGTAGCCCTCATGTTTCAGCTGCACGCCCTTCTTGTCAAAACTGTCCATTTGAAGGACACTGGCTCTTATCCCATGAGACCCATTGCAGTCCTGTATGCCGGCCCTAGCCTCGCATGGTGGCAAGTGCCTCACACGGATTGAGGGACAGAGCCCAGAAGATCTGCAGGGGCGGTACCTGGAAATCCCAGTAGTGCATGATGCCATTCTGCAGAGGATATTGTATTGGAGTCATGTTTCAATTGATACTGTTTGCACTGATCATGGTGTCATGAGACCTCCTGGGGAAAGACAGCATGGCTGTCTTGTCCTTGAAGAAACCCTGGCTGGGTTACTTCTCTTATGAGTAGGAAAAGCCAACCAGGACCTGATCAGTGCATCCTTTCATGACAGCTGGAACAATATCACCTCAGAAAGATTGTATTTGTATACATGCTAGGTTATAATCATTTCTCCTTTGCTGTGATAATAGGTTTGGAGAAAGACGGTAGCTTTTGAAGCATGTAAAATTGTGTTTGATTCTATGTGTTAACTGTGTCTCTTTCTTTCTTCAGGCTCAAGTTTTATTCTTTCTGGTCATCATGGTGTCTTTTGCTAGTTACATTGTTGGAACAATCCTCCCTGCCTCACCAGAGAAACAAGCCAAGGGTTTCTTTAGCTACAAAGGTAAAAATTAATTTTCTGCTGCTGAGAATTTTTTAGAGAATCTGAAAAGCAGTCAATCATTTTGTAAAGCATTGTCAAATGAGGCACTATTTAAACAAAAGATCACAGAAATTTTGTGCATGATGTTCGTGGCATATGAAAACTTCCTGTGGAAACTAAACTGTGGAAAACTAAGAATTTAAAACACTCAACAGCGGATATCTTCGCTACCAACTTTGTGCCCAACTGGCGAGGGCAAGAGGGAAGCTTCTTTGGCATGTTCTCCATTTTTTTCCCTTCTGCCACAGGCATCTTGGCAGGAGCTAACATCTCTGGAGATCTGAAAGTATGTCCTTTTTCTTCTTGCACGAAATACTTTAATTAGTTTATTTATTTGAATGAGTTAACTTGCATTGTTGCTAAGAAAAATACATAAACAGATAAATGAATTTTTCTGACATACACTGTTCATTTTATGGAATGTGTAACCTAATTATGCTCAATAAGGTTAACGTTTTAGATTTTGGTCCCTTTTTCCCCAGAATCCAGCAGTGGCCATTCCTAGAGGGACACTAATGGCAATTTTCTGGACCACTATCTCCTACCTCATCATTACTGCAACCATTGGTACTGTATATCTTTGCTGCCAACCAGACCTACTTCAAGTGATAGTACATGTGTCTGCCGAAATGGACACTGAATGGAGGACAAAAGCTAAAATAATTCCCACTTACCCACTTACCATGACTTCATCTATCTCTGTGAAGTCGATTTTAATTTCACCCTTACTAAAAAGAAAAAAAGTTAGCTGATATAATGCAAGTCATTGAAACAATCACATTTTAGTATTCAAGCTGTGATGTTTTTCCACCGTATGTTTATGTATATATGGAGATATTTAGATGTGTATATGAATATTTATGCCTGTGTATGCTTGTGTGCATTTGTTTTCAGCATCTTGTGTTGTGCGGGATGCTTCTGGCCTGTTAAATGACACTCTGGCACTGACCTCCAGCAAGAACTGTGTTGGTTTAGCTTGTCAGTATGGATGGGACTTCACCGAGTGTATCAACAACAACACATGTAGCTACGGCATCAGTAACTACTATCAGGCAAGCATGAGCTCGCATGCTGACATGACATGAAAATTTATGGTATGTTTCTACTTCATGATCTGTTTCCAAATGTGTGGCCGAGACAGACATTGAGGCTGAAGCTATCTCTGTAACTCTGTACAAAGGCACTGGCCTCATAAAATTCTGTACAACACCTACTTAAACATAAAAATAAATCAATCATTTACATCTAGTTTCCGCCCAAAGTCAGCTAAGAAGACAGGCTCAATAAAAACTGACAGCATCGTGTCAGCAGGGATGTTAGATAAATAATTCAGCCCTCACTGCGACCCCTAAATCAGACATATCGACAGTAGGTCACCTTGTGTACAAAAAGACAGTTTTCCTCTGGTAATTACAGTCAATCTAATGAGTAAACACATCATCTGTGTCTCCAGTCGATGAGCATGGTGTCAGCTTTCGCCCCTCTCATCACTGCGGGGATATTTGGAGCCACACTGTCCTCTGCTTTAGCCTGCCTGGTGTCTGCTCCCAAAGTGTTCCAGGTATACACACACACACACACACACACACACACACACACACACACACACACACACACACACACACACACACACACATACATATTCTACAGATGTTCAAACGTGAGTGTGTTTTCCAATGTCAATGTCAAGTTTATTTGTATAGCACGTTTAAAACAGCCAGTGGCCTAGCAAAGTGCTTTACAATAACGAAGCAGTAGCATTTAAAGCAAGTCATACAACAGCTACAACAAAAGACATGTAACATATAAATGTAAACAAAAACGAATATAGAACCAATACTAGAAAAGCACTCTGAGAGCGCAGACCTCCGCCAAGCAGCTCATGTCCCCCCTTAAACAAGAAATGCCCTGACCGGAATTCGAACCTAGGACCTTCTGGTTGTGAGGGGACAGTGCTAACCACTACACCACTGTGCCGCCCATTGGTTATCTTTCAGCTTTAAAAATTTCAATGACACCCTTATTATTACCTCCGCCAAGGAGGTTCTGTTTTCGGTAGCGTTGGTTTGTTTGTCTGTTAGCAACTTTACGGAGAAAGTAACAGACGGATTGACCTGAACACACAAAAATAAGGGTGTCATTGGAATTTTCAATGCTGAAAGATAATCAATGGGTGGCACAGTGGTGTAGTGGTTAGCACTGTCGCCTCACAACTAGAAGGTCTCGGGTAAAGTTGCTAACAGTCAAACAAACCAAAAAACAAACAAACCAACACTACCGAAAACATAACCTCCTTGGCGGAGGTAACAAGGCACGTCTAAGACGACTCAGTTAGCAGACCTAAGGGCTCTGGAGGGTTGGTGTAGCTTAACAAGCTCAGCCAGGCACTCCGGGGCCAGCCCATTCAGAGATTTAAAAACAAATAAAAGAATCTTAGCAACGATCCTGTACCTAACTGGAAGCCAGTGTAGAGAAGAGAGCACTGGAGTTATGTGCTCATGCTTCTTGGTGCCAGAAAGGAGGCGAGCTGCCGCATTCTGCACGAGCTGCAGGCGGTTAAGCTCAGCCTGGTCAACGCCAAAGTAAAGGGAATTGCAGTAATCCAAGCGAGAAGTAATAAAAGAATGGATTACTGTTTCCAGGTCTCTCTGGTTGAGATATGGTTTAATCTTAGCCAAAAGCCTCAGTTGAAAGAAGCTGGACTTGAACACAGCACTGACCTACTTGTCCAGTTTGAAGTCACCATCAATAATAAACCCAAGATTCCTGGCATGGGATTTTACGTACGGTGCTAATGGGTTGAGGGAGCTGGCGAGGACCTGAACCAGGTCGGGACGGCCGAACAGGATAACCTCTGTTTTGTTTTTGTTTCCAGTTTTTCCTCCCTCATGTTAAGATGCATGTAATGTTTTTGCCCCAATTTTTCACCTCTTTTTTTCCCTTTCTTTTTTTCTTCTGCAGTGTCTGTGCAAGGACAAACTCTACCCTTTCATTGGCTTCTTTGGTAAAAGTTATGGAAAGAATGATGAACCACTCAGAAGCTACCTGCTGGCATACATCATCGCGGTCTGCTTTATTCTCATTGGTGAGACAAAGAGGAGTATGAGCTGGAGTTAGGCTTTATAAACCAGGAAATGTTTCATAGAGAAAATCAAGTGATAGGGGGAATCTAGAGAAATACCTTGTGTGTTATCCATCTTTAAGACACACAAAGAAACTATTTTATATCCCAACCAGAGTTTAAATTAGAAATCTGTAGGTATTTGTCCTTGTTAGTGTCTGAAAATGATCATACAAACTTTTACAAAGATTTCAGTTGCTATTAATTGTAATCAAGACAGAGATTTATGCTTTTGATGGTGTTAACTTTTGTGTACTCAACAGAGGAACATGTTGGATTTATATTACTCTGTTACAGGAGAATAAGCACATGCTGTATTTATCTCTGGATAATCCCATACCAAAACTACTAACTCACCACGAAAAATAGGGGTGGGGAAAAAAAATCAATACAACATAGTATGGCAATATTTTGTCAGGTAATATATCGAATCGTCTAATTTACAAAGTATCAATTTTTCAAATTAATTGCTAATATGAAGTCAAATCTATGATAAATGAGAAATAAAATCAACTGTTTGTCCAGTGAGGTTGGCAGAGGTGACATCTTAGAGCAGGAGAAAGTTAGTACAACAAATATATATATAATGTTTGCAAGATGTGCTGCATGGAAATACAATACAGTGTAAATAAGTCAAACATAAAGGGAAAACAAACGCTAAATTAGATAAACTGTTGAAAAAATTATATAAATTGCAATATATTGTATTGCAATGCTCACAGTATTGCAAAAGAAAAAATTGCAATAATATTGTATCGTGGCCCAAGTATCGTGATATTATCGTATCGTGGGACCACTAGTGATTCCTACCCCTAACAAGTAATACTTCAGGCTTCTGTAAAGGCTTAAACAAAAATCAATTATAGTGTGAAACAAGTAATTATGGTCCAATTTCAAGTTGTTGTTTTTTTTTCCACAGCTGAACTGAACACCATTGCTCCCATCATCTCCAACTTCTTCCTTTGCTCCTACTCTCTGATCAACTTCAGCTGCTTTCATGCTTCAATCACCAACTCACCAGGTAAATAAACTCAGAAAAGTTAACAACTAGAAAAGCACTCGGAGAGCGCAGACCTCCGCCAACTCATAAAACTCATTTAGATCCTTTTGTGTAATTTTTCACTAAAGACTCTGGACATTTTTATAGAGTTAAATGCAAAAATTCCAAAATTTGCCCTATCTCACAATGATAAAGAATCCTTCAAAAAAATTCCTGGATCCAGAAGGCGATCCGGATCACCACCAAAATGTAATGGGATCCTCCTGGGGCTGAGATGCACCTCTGGTGAAAATTTCAGGTCAATCCGTCTGTAACTTTCTCCATAAAGTTGTTCACAAACAAACAAACAAACAAACAAACAAACAAACTAGAAAAGCACTCAGAGAGCGCAGACCTCCGCCAAGCAGCTCATGTCCTCCCTGAAACAAGAAATGCCCTGACTGGGATTTGAACCCAGGACCATCTGGCTGTGAGGCAACAGTGCTAACCACTTCACCACTATGCCACCCATCTACACTACTGTGCTGCCCATCTACACCACTGTGCTGCCCATCGGTTATCTTTAAGCATTGAAAATTCCAACGACACTCTTATTTTTGTGTGTTCTGGATCACAGTATCCAGAATTTTGTCCGGATCACCACCAAAATGTAATGGGATCCTCCTGGGGCTGAGACGCACCTCTGGTGAAAATTTCAGGTCAATCCGTCTGTTACTTTCTCTGTAAAGTTGCAAACAGACAAACAAACAAACCAATGCTACCGAAAACATAACCTCCTTGGCGGAGGTAATTACAATGAAAGGGATGCAAACAGCCTGTAAACAGAGTTTTAGCTCTTTAGAGAAATGTTCATATATGTGCATGATTTAGAGAGTTTGTGTGTGTGTGTGTGTGTGTGTGTGTGTGTGTGTGTGTGTGTGTGTGTGTGTGTGTGTGTGTGTGTGTGTGTGTGTGTGTGTGTGCGTGTGTGCGTGTACGTGTGTGTGCACAGGTTGGCGTCCGTCCTTCAGATTCTACAGTAAGTGGCTGTCACTGCTGGGGACAGTCTGCTGCGTCGTCATCATGTTCCTGCTAAACTGGTGGGCAGCTCTCATTGCCTTTGGCATTGTCTTCCTTCTTTTGGGATACACACTCTACAAGAAGCCCGGTAAACTCACACACAACAAACACAAACACTTGACCTCTTCCTCTCTATGCTGACACTTGTTCTCCTCTCTGGGGTTAGCTGTAAACTGGGGTTCCTCAGTACAGGCCAGCTCCTACAACATGGCTCTGACCCAGTGTGTTGGCCTCAACCATGTGGAGGACCATGTGAAGAATTACAGGTCAGTAACAGGCTGATTTAAAACACTTGAAAGTTCCTCTTGGAAATGGGGTTAGGGCAGGGACATCTTCCCTTTTAAGTATAAATCGCAAGTAAACTGCAGTGAGTCCTCAAAAACCATCAAGGGGTTAGTATATGTTAAGGATATGTGAAGTATAGGTATATGTTATGTTAAAAGTATTGAGTAGATACAGACATCCAGCGAATGTGATGATGAAGACAGGACAAAATCCTCTCTGAATGAGGTGGTAGCAGAAATGAAGAGAAGGATGAAAAGGAAATACATAACTATTAGCTTGTAAAATCAAACTTGATAAAAATAAATATATTGTTTATTTATCAGCTCTTCTTTAATCCTTTAATCTCTGTCTGAAAAATTAAGATATTAGTGACAAAAGTCTTAAGAGAAACAGTGTTCAAAAGTTGATATGATATCAAAGTAAGTATAAAACTTGTCCACATCACATAAATCAGAGATAGGGCTCTATTTTTCATGCCTTGCCAGCGGCATGGCGCACGTGCAGCATAAGTCAGGTCCGCCGTGCCAATAAGGCGTTACCAAGCACATTTTGGTATTTAACCCAGCTCCTCCCAGCGGCGTAAACTGGTAGGCGGACAGACAGAAATATATTAAAAGAAGTAAGGGAAAAGCAGCATAATGTGAGAATGAAAGAGGAGGACAGGGATGGTTTAAATTCATGAGAAAAGGTGTGGTGGAGGTGTGGTAGCATTGCCAAAATATCCACCTGTAACCTGTAGCTTTTTATTTACTCCACACAGTTGTGTCCATTATGTTATCTCTCTCTAAAAGAAAAAAAAAGGAATAAAACGTGATTTCCACAGAATCAGACTCTCTCTATATTACAAATAAGACTTTGGTATGCGATGAGGTGTACCAACTGCCAGCTCTCCAATTCTTTCATCCAAGAGCGAATAAAACAAACCAAAGACACCTTTAAACCCCCAATAAAAATCTGGTGTCGTAGACTGTCCATATAAAGACAACAGGGGGGGGTTTTGTGTGTCATCTGGAGCTCTGGACTAAGATGTTCAGCATCTTCGCTCAGTGTGATTTATGTCTTTCCTTAGGCCTCAGTGTTTGGTGCTCACAGGTCCTCCCTGCAGTCGTCCAGCTCTGGTGGATCTTGTCTCCTGTTTCACAAAGGGTCTCAGTCTCATGATGTGTGGCAATGTCATCACTGTGAGTTAAAGTCAACATGCAAATCACATGGTTAAGATTATACCGACAGTGTTTAAAGACCATCTGTATGATTCTATGTGTGGCAGACTGAACCTTCTCCATCAGTGGTCGATGATGCCAGCAGTGATAGCCATGTAAACTGGCTCAACCAAAGGAAGGTGAAGTCTTTCTACAGAGGTGTGGTGGCAGCAGAGCTCAGAACAGGAGTTAACGTCCTATTACAGGTAATGAAAAATATACAGTATAAATGGTAACACCTCATCTATTGTCTGCGTTTACATGAGCACAAATAATCAGAATAAATGCCCATTCGCGACAAAAATGTGTCACGTAAACATGTCAATCAAAAGATTCAGATCCATTTCAGCTCAATTGGAAAGAAATTGTATTCCGATCGGAAGGTGGTTTATGCTGATTGTTTTACACTTCTTCCGTTCCGGATTACCACCAAAATGTAATGGGATCCTCCTGGGGCTGAGACGCACCTCTGGTGAAAATTTCAGGTCAATCCGTCTGTTACTTTCTACGTAAAGTTGGTAACAGACAAACAAACAAACTAACAAACAAACCAATGCTACCAAAAACATAACTCCCTCCTTGGCGGAGGTAATAAGCAGCTTTTCATTCCGCAAAGAGAACCCAACATTTATTGAAACATGCTTTTCATATCCGTTTACTTTCTAACTAATGATGTAGCTTCCTCTCAATGGAAATGATTCTGTCCTGACTCGTCAGTGCTACTTCTTTTGTGTGCTTACCTTTGTATCTCTGTGTCATCTTTAACTCTATCACTTATGAGCCCGAGTTTGTAGATTCAGTTTTTTACCAGATTACTGTATATACCCTCAGAACTAATGTCAGGTTCCTCTCCTGTCCATCAGGGGGCAGGTCTGGGTCGTATGAAGCCAAATGTCCTGCTGATGGGTTTTAAGAAGGACTGGCACTCTGACACACCTGATGCCACACACAACTACATAGGAATACTTCAGTGAGTATAGAGGGTATTAAACACCTCTTACTGTGTGTTTGAACTTCTGGATGATCAAAGTAAGCTCTGATGACCATGAAGCTTTCTAGTGTTCATTTTTTACAACCACATGAGGGTGAAATGTGTGTTTCAGTGATACATTTGACCTTCAGTATGGCCTGTGCGTGTTGAGAATGCGGGAAGGACTGGATGTATCTCTTCCTTCTCGGTCACATGGTGAGTAGGGTTTCCAACCGGGATCGTATCGTATTTGAAAACAAAAAGACATGTCCCGTAATGAACTAAAACGGGACGCTTCTTTTCCCATATTTTCGGACAGCGTCTCTCTGCCTAACACACTGTCACAGACTCACATCAGCAGCTTGGCAGCTGAGCTATGGGACAAGTTACAAAACACAGCAGACTACCAGCTATGGGTTGTTAACAAAAGCACGTTATGCATAGCAACTGTAACTGCTTCTCATTTACACAACTCTGGACACATGTACTTACTCAAACAAAGAGGGGTGTGTGATAATGTCCTCTCTGGTTCCATAGGCAGTTTTAGGATTTGCCAGCAGGGGGTGCAACTTGCCAGAGAAGTTAGTCTTTGTTTTTTGGTTTGTTTTTTTGCAAGGCCAAACCTGGAAAACTCATGTTTACTGATTCACAATAGGATGGGATGTTTTAGTTTGTCATATTTTAAGGAGGTTATATAATTAAAGGTTTACTGTAATAAAGTGTTTGCACTTTGACTTCTTGAATAAGTCAAACATTGTTTCAATACGGTGACATTTCACTATAAATGTTCAATGAAGAATTATTATTATTATTTTGCACACAATAAATTCTTCAATGATACATTGATAATGTTTCTTGTGTAGTCTGTCTATAAATTAAATACAAATTAAGGTTTAATTTATGGTTATTAATTAATGTTTGTGTACATGCCTTGGGCTCGCTGATTCTAGTTGCATTTACTTGGTATATGAATAGGACTTGGTGTAACATATTAGGCATGATGTTTGTATAACTGTGACTATTATTTTTTTTTGTATGCACATAAATCCCCACATTTTTCGGCCCGGCCTGAGATAAGGGACACCCAAATTTTATAAGGGACACCAAAAATTTTTTTGTCCCTTATTTCAATCTCTTGGAGTTGGCAACCCTAACGGGGAGAGCTGTGTTACACGTGTGTATCTCAGGATGGCTGAATTTGACATCAGTGAAGGTTGATAGCTACAGTGCCCGATTTTTAAACATGGAAAAGGCCTTCATCCCTTTATATTTGACTTGAATTAGTTTTCATGATTGTTTGTGAAAAATCATCTCTAACTGTTTCAGTGAATCCAGTCTTCGATGCCAGACAAGAGAGCATAAACACCATCTCTTCCATCCCTTGTGGTCAAACAAGCTCCACAGGTTTGTATTTGTGCTTGACTTTTTTGTGTTCTTTGTATTTGCATTGATTTTTTTTTTTTTTTTACATTAGTGTGGTGTCCATGGAGATTTACGTTGTACATGCAAATTTGGCAGCGAATAAACCATTTACTTAACAAATTTTGAGTCTCAGGCCCCAACTACACGAATGCGGATATATTTCAAACCGCACATATTTATGTCCGATTAGGCCTCCCTACCACACCAAAACAGGAGTTTGGAGCACTCAACCGGATAAATCTGAATCCGAAAAAACAAGTGGAGAAATAAAAAAATATCCATATAAGTGGATTCGTGTGGTTGAACTTTTACGGATCGATGACGTCAAACCGCAGCTCGACCATGCGAATTAAAAAGAAAAACAACAACAACAACGATGGCGGACATACAGGGTATTCTTTACATTTGTTTTGCCCTTTTGGGGCTAATTTCAGCCTTGACAGTGAACCTTGTTTTATACAATTACATCCACCAGTCAGCCAGCTCACAGAGGCGTCTGCTGCGCCCAATACTTTTATTGGAGAGCAATCGTAACGTTAACGTTAGGCGTTTTAAAGTTCGCCAGAAGCGGAAGTTTTATGTCAAACCCGGTCGGACCAGCAAGTGGTGGGACAACTTCGTCAGAGGGGCTGTGCCTGCAGATGACACCGTCACATGGACCCGACGCACTAGCGTAGCTTCCGCAAACAATGCATGACGCATCACGCTGTTACGATTCATCGGCCAATCAGGTAGCTTTGTTCCTGAATTTTTTTAAGCGGCACCAGATAGGATTGAGTTTAAAGGCTACGTGTGGACGCAGATATTTTTGAGAACTAACACGTGTGGACAGATACATTTATTTAGACGGGAGTACAAAAATATCCTGATAAATAAATATCTATATACGTGTCGTCCGGGCCTAAGTCCTTTGAAAGATATTTTTGATCATAAATGAAATGTCAAATGTCAACACAATTTTCTTTGTACTTCATGTTTGCAGTTACTGTATCTGTTGAAGGGAAGCTTCAGCACGGCACAGTGTTCCAGAAAAAACAAGGAAAGAAAACCATTGATGTATACTGGCTGTCTGATGATGGAGGTCTGATCATTTCCATTTGTTTAAATAAAGTTTAAAGAGATATTACGGTGTAAAATTAACTTAGGGTCAAACACACTGTAACAGAGTTAGACACCCCCTTGAGAGATGAATTTTGCCGACTGCTTGCTTCTCTAGTTATACTAACTTTAGTAACGACTGCACAATAGCAGTACACAGTGGTCTACGTCTCCACACATAAACTTCAACCAAAACGCCGCTCTATAGCCACAAATAATGCTCAGAACAGCACCTAACTTCATCAACAGGACATATAGGGTCCCAGCCATAGTACTAGACACCAAACATCTTTTTAACTTTGCCTGATTTCTTTAGCAAAGAGACTAAACACAACTCACCCACTCTCCTCCAGCAGCCGCTTGTTATTGAGGGAAGCTTTGACGAGTTGATCACTGAGAGCAGCGGATCATTTCCTTGAAGTAATAATCATCATTATAATCATTTTGCACTGTAGATATGGTAGTTCTTCTGCCTTAGCATCTTGGTCTGATTGCATTTCCATGAAGTAATGATCATAAATGTTCTTCCTTGAGCTGCGAAACTCCGCTGCATTCAGTGATCGACTCATCAGGGCTCCCCTACAAACAAGCGGCTGCTGGAAGAGAGTGGGTGAGTTGTGTTTAGTCTCTTTGCTAAAGAAATCAGGCAAAGTTAAAAAGATGTTTGGTGGCGAGTACTATGGCTGGAACCCCTTTTGGTTGAAGTTTGTGCGTGGAGACAAAGACATCTGTGTATTGCTATCATGCAGTCATTGCTGAAATCGATGTAACTAGAGAAGCAAACAGCCGACAACATTCATCTCTCGAGGGGGAGTCTAACTTGGTGTTACAGTGTGTTTGACCATAACTTAAATTTATGCTGGAATATCCCTTTAAGTCTTTTATGCAAGTCTTTTATTTGAAAGGAAGAATTTGCACTCTGTTTTATAGATATTCAACTTCATTAGAATTTCGACCAGATACAGATGTGTGTGTTATGTGTTTTAACAGGTCTAACCCTGCTGCTTCCCTACCTCTTGACTCGGAGGAAACGCTGGGCCGCATGTAAAGTGCGAGTGTTTGTGGGAGGAGATTCAGACAAGAAGGAAGAACAGAGAGAAGAGTGAACACTTATAGATGTTTCTTTATCATTTTAGTTACTTCAAAGGTTTATGAAGCTGTGGTAGACTGTGGAAGCTCATTTTTCCAAAAGCTTTGGATAACTAAGTGAATTAAAAAGTGGGTTAATAATCCTGAAAACAGAGCTCAGTGCTGTGGATGAATGTTTTCCTCTGTCTAGGGTGTTGGCACTGATCAAGAAGTTTCGTCTTGGTTTCCATGATGTTGAAGTCCTTCCTGACATCTACCAGAACCCTCAGTCTATGAAGTAAGGCCAGTCAGAGATGTTTTCTTTAATGCAGATACAGTGAAGCACAAACTGAGGAGTGCGGCCAGTCAGTGTCTTGGTGACTGCGTCCAACCCCGGAACTGCGGGACCCTGCAAGGCACCAGCCTTAACCCCCTCGGTTTTGCAGTTACCCCTTGATCCATGTCTGCATGTCTTTGTGTGTTTCAGCATTTATCAGTTTGAGAATATGGTGAGCCGCTTCAGACTGAATAAAGATCCCAAACAGGACTCTGACTCAGCGACACCCATGCAGCAAGAGGAGCCATGGATGATCACTGACCAGGACATAGAAAGGAACAAGGCCAAGGTCTGACCCAGAAGCAGGGACACTCATACTGCTAAAGTCCTTCAAATAGAGCAACAATATATGAATATGAGAAATAATAACATTTGTTCTGTCTACACGGGTTAAAGTCCAAACTTTGTGTGATTCAGTCCCTCCGTCAGATCCGCCTCAATGAGGTCCTGAGGGATTACTCCAGAGAAGCTGCTCTGATTGTCATGTGAGTACAGCTCAGAGGTGCTATTCAATAAAAGAGAAGAAAATGCAGCAAAGAAAAAATTACAATTTCATTTCAAGATGAAAGACCTGCAGCACTCACTCCACACACTTACACAGCTGACTGTCCTTTTAAAAGTTACTGCTTTTAGATGATTATTAAGTATTGCTGTCTATTGTGAACTGATCACTTTATTAAACAGCACCATGCCTGTGGGGAGAAGAGGGACGTGTCCAAGCACCCTCTACATGGCTTGGCTTGACTTCCTATCACGTGACCTGAGGCCTCCAGTCCTATTGGTCAGAGGAAACCAGGAAAATGTCCTCACCTTCTACTGCCAATAAAATGATGATTGGTGTACTTCTTCCTCGTTAACGTCCACAAACTTTAACCTGAATGAACACTTTGGTGTCTTGGTGATTGTAAATGATTGTTCCCAGTATTTAGAAGGGCTTTTGAGTGAGGTAACCTGTAAATGTTAATCAATCTCAAAATAATGTTTTAAAATCATTCAAAGGTATTTTTTTTATCTCATTGATTTGCAATTCTTCCCATCTATGTGTCCGTGTGTTTCCTGTACTTCGAAGAGCATTAAGAATATATATATTTTTTTGATATCACAGCTTCTAAACCATTTTATATATATACTCATAAAAAGGGGTAAATGGAGCCTTTTAATTGGGACCTAAGAACACATTGGAGATCAATATAAACGTGTGAAGCAAAAAAATAAAAAGTAAAGGGCAGCAGTGGGAGAGTATCTCTGTCCACTTCTGTCAGCCCCCCTGAACACAGTGATGTGTGTCAGTCTTTCTTTTCAAGTCCCCCTGTGTTGTTAATTTACAGTGTATGCTGTCAAAACAGTCAGAATATACTGCATTGATCATATTTGTTTGATTATTTTCAAAACATTGTTGAGGACAGAAAAACTTCTGCCAGATCTCAAGTGGCATCTAGTCTGTTGAACATCTTTGGGGCCCTGAGTCACTGTTTTGTCGCTGAGCCTGACCTTTGACTTGTGTCATAAGAAAATGACATGAAATACTCCTTTAGTACTTCAATCAGAGGTGGGGGCTTGACGACTCGACTCGACTTGGACTTGAGTCCCATTTTTGGCTTGCTTGATGAAATCAAGAAATGACTTGGACTTGCTTGGGACTTGATTGCTAAAGACTTGAGCCCAGTGACTTGGAAGTCAAGTCAAGTCTTTTCAAGTCACTTAATACCTTACAGCAAGCCCAAACCGTTTAAAAAGTGTCACATCAACTAATAGTCAGGAATTACGGCCGTTGGTAACATCGTGTTGTGTTGCCAAGTCTGCTTATTTCCTGCAAAAAAAATCGCTTGTTTTTGTCTTGTTTCTGGAGGTCTGTTTCCTTATTTCTCTCACGAAACTTGGCAACACTGTCTCAAACTCTAGCCTCCCTCATAACGACAACACCGGGAGGACTGAACATAAATCGCTCGCTAGTATTGCCCGCCTGTTACCACGTGTTGCCTTGTGTCTCTCTTTTGTTTTGGAACAGTGAATTAGAGTATCAGTTTAATGTTTAATTGCATTTGAGTCTTCCTTATTTTTGTGCACATTGTCTAAGTTTCCAATTATTGAAGTTGATCTGATTATTTTTTGTATGACATGTAAAATAGTTTGGTTAAAGCTGCACTATGTAACTTAACACAAACAAGAACCCTTGTTTAGTAATAAATGCAAATAGTGAAAAATGCTCATGATTGATGTAAATCTTTACATATAACAAATGGTTTATGGCTTTGATATGACTTGTTTTTGACTTGAAAGAAACGGTAAGGACTTGGACTTGACTTGAGACTTGAGAACGAAGGACTTGAGACTCGACTTGGACTTGCATATAAAGACTTTCCCCCACCTCTGACTTCAATGATTTGAAAAGTGGTTATAATGACTCTGGGATATCACAAAATCAAGTCTTTATTTGATGCCTGCTCTGGAAACTACCAACACTTCTCCATAAGCACACACAATGACTTGTCGCCTTGTCGACGCGGTGGACCTGACTTACGCCGCGCCGGTGCCACGTCTCCGGCGAAGCATGAAAATAGAGCCCATAATGTAGTTTTAGGGAGCAATCAACTCTGTCAACCTCCAGTGAAAACAAAAGCATGAATAAGCTCTGTACATCATATTTTTTTCATGGACAGCAAAGCAAGTTGTCCAAGCTAAACAAAAAAAGAGGACTAGTTACATCAAACAAACATAAATTTATCATCACAATACAAATGGATGGATGAGCATTTCAACATTATCAAGTCAAACGTCAAAAGCATCAGAGTTTCTCTTCTATTGTAAAGTCCTCTTCAGGAACTCAACAAGGAGGTGATGAGGGAAACCGAAATCCATCTGAACCACCACAAAACCCTTCAGCACAGTAAGAGAGAGAGAGAGAGAGAGAGAAGGAAGACACATGAGCCAAAGCTGTGCAAATACATGGGTCAGGCTACAGCCAATGAACAATTAAAGCCTCACTTACATCGCCAGGAAGAACCTCTGGGTTATAGATGTCAAATAAGTTTGCCCCCTGTTTGTCCAGCAACACTGTCAGCTCAATCTCAAGGACTAAAATGAAAGCATTACAGAAAAGACGTCATTTCACACTTACACAAAGTAAATTCTAACTTTCCTTTTTAAGTTGTAATTTTACGTTAGCATGAGTTGACACTCTTAAAGCTCCTGTGGGGAGCTTTGACTTGTTATGAAACAGACCGAAAAGTTCTTCACAGGAGCTTTAAGTTTCAGGCAATTTTAAGGCAAGCTAGCAATACTTATTATTGCGGGTATCATTAAAATGAGTTTTAACCAAAACTTAAACTAAACATATTTTCAAACAAGATGCCATTCACAGTGAATTAAACTACATGAACTTCCTCTTTGAATGTAATGCAAGAGTTAGCTCATTTTAAAAACAACAAAATAGTTAGCATAAAAATTATAAGAGCCTCCTGCTGAAACTGCAGAACATCCTCCAAATACAGTATACTTGTGCTTCTTCAACTAGTGTATCTTTATGGTGGTACCATAGACTGTACATACTTTGGACAACTTATGACCTATACTGCAGCCCATCAACAGAGGGTGCTGTTCTCGGAGTGGCTTCACCCAGTGAGGAGGCAGACTCTGTCCATTCTATATACAGTCTATGGGTGGTACTCAAGGTTTTTATTTTATAAACAGAAATTTACACTGAGACATACGATTTACTGTACATGATGATGTTTTTCATGTCGTACCTCTCAGAACTTTAGGAATGCCGATCCTCACCACTGCCTCTCTCATCAATTCCAGTTGAGTCTCATCTAACAGCTGGAAAAAAGAGAACGGGACGATAAAACAAGTCCAACTAAAAATGAACATATATCAGTTTCAGATTCATAAATACAGACAATCATAATCTAAGAAAAAAGGTCAAGATTTTGTTGATATCAGCTCAGCAATCAGCTCATTGTCGTGTTGGCGTTTTGTGAGAAGATGTGGTAGACAGAGGAGTGGTTTAACTTGACATTGATAATATAAGTTGATTTGTACTTTAAGTTTAGCTGCGTTCAAAATTACAGGTTTTTATAGGAGTCTTGATGCAAAAGTTGTTTGTCTTAGCATGTCTTCAGCATAATACTTTCCTCAACCTTACAACTGCAGGTGTAAGGTTGTAAGGTTGTGACTGATACCAAATACTTCACCTGTTGATTCTCTATGGGCAGCTCTGCCTGGAGTATAACAACCCTGGAAAGAAAGAAAATGAGCTCAGCGTTGGACTGTAATGCTAGCAGAGACTGAAATAAAAGGGGAAAAAATGACATTCACATTTGATCTAATCTTCAAAAGATCGCCATCAGCTGAAAGAAAAGTTAAAATTGAGGTGATAATTTGAGGTAATCTCTTTAACTTTACAAAACATGAAATCCAACAACCAAGAAAGATACTGTTTACACAGGGTGGAGGGGTGAATGAGACAAGTGACTTTATAATGTTCATTACCTCCGCCAAGGAGGTTATGTTTTCAGTAGCATTGGTTTGTTTGTCTGTCACCAACTTTACGGAGAAAGTTACAGATGGATTGACCTGAAATTTTCACCAGTGGTGTGTCTCAGCCCCAGGAGGATCCCATTACATTTTGGTGGTGATCCAGATCGCCTTCTGGATCCAGGAATTTTTTGAAGGATTCTTTATCATTGTGAGATAGGGCAAATTTTGGAATTTTTGCATGTAACTCTATAAAAATGGCCAGAGTCTTTAGTAAAAAATGACACAAAAGGATCTCAATGAGTTTTATGAGGTGTCAAAGGTTGATCCTGATCCAGACAAAATTCTGGATACTGTGATCCAGAACACACAAAAATAAGGGTGTCGTTGGAATTTTCAATGCTGAAAGATAACCAATGGGCGGCACAGTGGTGTAGATGGGCAGCACAGTGGTGTAGTGGTTAGCACTGTCGCCTCACAGCAACAAGGTCCTGGGTTTGAATCCGGGTCAGGGCATTTCTTGTTTTAGGAACATTATGAACAAGTTCATAAAAGACATGTAACAGTAAAAGTTTTGCTGTGAATCACAATATAAGGGGGGACATGAGCTGCTTGGTGGAGGTCTGCACTCTCTGAGTGCTTTTCTAGTCTTAAATGCTTCTGTCTTGTTCGGTATGCGAACATTTATAAAGAACTTCTTAAAAAGTAATATAACACACACTCAGCGCTTAAAGATGCAAGTAGGTCATTGATAGAACTTTAAAAAGAAATCAAAAATCAACAAGAGCGGTCTTACTTTGTAGCGTTTCCACTCAGGAAGAGTTTCTTGTTGGCATAGGATGCTGTGACATCTGTGACTACTTCCTAGAGATAGAAAACAAATGGACACTGGTCAGATATATTTTGCTTCCCCTGCCTCATACAGTCTTTACAGTCACTACAAAGAGACAATGGTTACAGATGTATTCAGTTCTTGACAAAGGTCTATCCACACCTTGCTGATCATAACATACATCTTGTGTTCTAGTTGAAGCAGGCCATTACAGCGGTACTGACCTGCTGCCAGAGCTGAAATTTGTACTAAGCTGTGTTGCTAATAGTCATGTGACACCATAGACTACTATAGACAACTTGGCTCCGCATCCCGTCATTATACAAATTTTAAGCCAAATTGCTTGTGGTATTTGCAGGATTTTCTCTACTTTCTGGAACCACCACTTGCGCAGTGGCATTGTAGACATTAGGCGGTAGAGTCGCTGTCAAGACACTTGGCTCAAACAGGGTATCCTTGGATGAGCTATGCAATCTTTGTACACCCATAGGCAGTATCAGGTGTCAATCATAGAAAATATGAACCCCTGAATAACTTTTAAGAATGGAGCTGCACAGAAAAAAACATGTATGCTTAGGTCTTACAAAGACATGCCCTGAGAAGTTCACTTATAAGAGGTTGATTTTACAAATGACCGTACTGTACAGTATGGTCTCACGTGAAGGACATACAGTTGTGCTCATAAGTTTACATACCCTTGGCAGAACCTATGGTTATTTGACCATTTTTCAGAGAATATGACTGGTAACACAAAATCTTTTTTTCCACTCATGCTCAGTGGTTGGGTGAAACCATTAATTGTAAAACGACTGTGCTTTACTGCAAATACTGGAGGAAAATTTGCACTCATCAGCCCGGAAGCTGCGCATGGGACGTACTTTGACGTTCCAACATGACAATGATCCAAAACACAATGCAAAGTCGACCTGTCATTGGCTACAGCAGAATAGAGTGAAGGTTCTGGAGTGGCCATTTCAGTCTCCTGATCTCAATATCATTGAGCCACTCTGGGGAGATCTGAAGTGCGCAGTTCCTGCAGGACAGCCCAGGAATTTACAGGAACTGGAGGCTTTTTGCCAAGAAAATGGGTAGCTTTACCATCTGAGAAAATGAAGAGCCTCATCCACAACTACCACAATTAAGAACTGGGGTATGTAAACTTTTGATCAGGGTCATTAGGGTGTCTTTTGTTGTCATAATGATTTAAAAATAGAAAACACAGTTGTTTATCAATAAATGGTTTCACCCAACCACTGACCATGAGTGGAAAAAGAGCTTTTGAGTTATCATTCATATTCTCTAAAAAAAGGCCAAGAAAGCAAAAATTGTGCCGGGGTATGTAAACTTTTGAGCACAACTGTATGTACAGGAAACATGAATTCTCATAACACTTTTTACAATATCTCACAGAAGCTGTGACTATGATTATGTGAAAATAAATGTAAAATACCATCTGAAAGAAGAGCACTGGTGTGCCTTGATTCCCACAGTAGAGCTGCCCTGAGGCCTCCACCCATGTGGTTGTTCCCCGGGTGGAGGTTTTCAGGTAGGGAACAGATGAACTCCACACTCCAAGCTCACATGAACCCGATTCCAGACTCTAAACAAACAAAAACGTAAAATGATGTGTCTAATTGAACAAGTCATTAGGCCTAAACAGGGATTATAATGTTTCGCTGTTACCTTTGTAATAAGTTCAGGTGTAGCACCAGAGAGTTCTGTGTTGAAAAGTTCCTGAAATCACACGAGTCAGTAAAAAAGGACTTAACAGCTCAAATTAAAGTTTGATCACATAAATCAAGTATTTGAAGATGATTCACTTACAGTGAGCTCTGCTTCAGAGATGTTGAGTCGGAAACGACCGTCTTGATGGGCAGCACTGAGTAGTGGGTTGATAACTTGGTCTAGGATTAAACATGAATGCAAGCTGTAATGTACCCAGCAAGCTTTTCAAGAATGCTTAATATGTGATGATTCACAAACTCTTTTAATGACAAAAGACTGTGAAAACTGTAGATAATGTCAAGCTAGAGCCCTTTTTATTGTCACAGGGAGGGATTCATATTAAACTAGAAAAGCACTCTAAGAGCGCAGACCTCCCCCACGCAGGTCATGTCCACCCTTAAACAAGAAATGCCCTGATCAGGATTCGAAGCCAGGACCTTCTGGATGTGAGGCGACAGTGCTAACCACTACACCACTGTGCCGCCCATCTACACCGCTGTGCCGCCCATTGGTTATCTTTCAGCATTGAAAATTCCAACAACACCCTTATTTTTGTGTGTTCTGGATCACAGTATCCGGAATTCTGTCCGGATCACCACCAAAATTTAATGGGATTCTCCTGGGGCTGAGACGCACCTCTGGTGAAAATTTCAGGTCAATCCATCAGTTAGTTTCTCTGTAAAGTTGCTAACAGACAAACAAACAAACCAATGCTACCGAAAACATAACCTCCTTGGCGGAGGTAATTATTGCTCTATCTAACAGTGTAGTTTTTCTCAGAGTGATGAGCCCCTCTCTATCATGACTTCAGAAAGTTCACTGGAAACACTGCTCACCTGACAGCCAAAAGTAAAGCATCTTGTTTTCAGTCAGCTGACTGGGGTGGAAAACTGAGTCATTGATGACAGCAGAAATGTTGTTGTAGTTGGTCAGTCCCTAGAAGATTTGTTGGGGGAAAAATGAACAGAAAATGAATTAGTAACACAAAAGGAAGTAGGATTAACAGAGCTGCATTGATATGAGCTCTATGACCTTGTTTGACAAAGATATCCTTATTCATGTGTTCACCCCAACCCTGATCACAGCTGAAATACCTAAGGGACTTGTTTGGGGTTGCTGTGAATAAAAATTAAAATGTAATAAATACACCAAGTTACGCATATTCCAGTCCCCTTATGGGGTGTTCACACCAAACGCGACTTCGGCGACGGCTCCCAATGCAAAATCTATGGACAGCCACGACCTGACGCGACTTGGCGACCGCCAGCTGCCTGCGACGCGACCTGACGCGACTTGGCGACCGGTCACCAAGTCGCGTCGCCGAGGTCGCGTCGCCGAGGTCGCGTCGCCGAGGTCGCAGGACGCCAAGTCGCGTCGCTCCCAAAGTTCAAATATTTGAACTTTGGGAGCGACTATCCGCAACTCCGTGCCGCGACAGCCAATCAGGGCTCTGCTGACGTCAACAAACCGGCGAAGCAAGGAGGAAGAGAAGAAGAATCACAATGGAGGAGCAGTTTATCACTGCCGTGAGTTATCACCCGGTCCTGTACGACGTGGGACCGCATTTTTACCGGGACCGCACCTCCAAGGTGGAGGCATGGGCGAAGGTGGCCCATGATTTCGGGCTTTCTCGTCATTTGTTTATTTATTTCAGTGAGCAGACTATTTTCTGAAAACATGGCAAACTTCCCCTGCTTGCTAGGCTACATGTTTCAACGTGTGTGTGTATGTGTGCCGCAAGCGCTGGAAGGGGCTGCGGGATGTATATATGAGGGAGAAAAGTAGGGAGAAGGAAGGTGGGAGAAGCGGGTCAGCGGCGACCAGCCGCGTCCTTTGACCGCAGCTTTGGACCCGTTGTGAACACACCAGAGCACCACACGACGCGACGTGACCGACCAACGCGACAGGTCGCGTCGCGTTTGGTCTGAACACGGCTTTACACTGTTGAGTATTTCAGACATTTTTTTTTATCACACATTTAACAAATTTTGACAGAGATACGTGTGTGTAAAGATGAATACAGGTGTGAGTCACCTTGTGGTATGATTCGATATAGTTTGCAGTGATGACAGGTGCAGCAGTCACACCGATATCCACACTGATATCTCCATCACTGAGAAACTGCTCTGTAACACACACACACACATACGGTATACACACAATTACTAATGATGAAACATCTACACTTTTACAAACAAATCATTCATTCACTCACTCATTCACTCACTGTATCACTCATTATGACACAAGAACACTTGAGCACACACCTGCTGTGTCTTGGATGAAGTCAGCCAGTATATTTGCCACCTTGTTGATCTCCTTACAAATCTGTATTTTGAAAAAGACTTACCAATACTTCAGTATCAACGTAACTAATCTACAGGACACACAAATGCACATTTGAAGACGATCAGTGAAATTTCTACCCTTCATTCTCATGCTTACCTGTCCCTTTACGACCAATTTGACTGTAAAAGTGATGAAGTCTGTAAAAAGCCTCTTCAGGAAGTTTGGTCTGAGCAACAAGACACAAAACAGAGTCAGGAATAGTTACCAGTGCGGGTCTATTTTTTGTCCTGCTGTTGACACCCTAACAAGGTCGAGATTTGAAACTTACTCTTTGTCCCCCTGCAGGTGCAGACGGAGCTTGTGAAAGTTCAAATAACAGTCTGTTGTGTCTGCTGCTACCTTTCCTTCTCCACAGTCTGACAGACAGAGATAACAGAAAACAGATCTGAGGACATCCGTGTGAACTCAGGTGACAGAGAGCAGGGAAGTTCACACACATTGAACCAGCTACCGAGCTTCAATCCCAATATATATCAAGGTACTCACAAAGTTTTGGCTTGATTCCTAGATCAATCTGCGACTCAATTTCAAAGTCAAGTGAATGGTCAACGTTGAGACTAGATAAAGCAAATAACAGTCTGTTGTGTCTGCTGCTACCTTTCCTTCTCCACAGTCTGACAGACAGTGACTAAACAGCAATGAGCTGTAGCAACTCATAATGTAATAATGGTTCATAATGTAATAATCAGCTCATAACGTAATAGTAAAAACGGTTTTCAATAATGTCATAATTTGTTACAGGAAGAACCTCCACAGACCATGATACTGACCATGATACTGACCATGACACTGACATGATACTGACCATGATACTGACATGATACTGACATGCTACTGACCATGACACTGACATGATAATGACCATGACACTGACCATGATACTGACCATGACACTGACCATGACACTGACATGATACTGACATGACACTGACCATGACACTGACATGATACTGACATGATACTGACCATGATACTCATATACCACCATGATACTGACCATGATACTGACCATGATACTCATATACCACAATGATACTAACATGATACTGACATGATACTGACCATGATACTGATATACTACCATAATACTTATCCCAAATATGGTCCATTATAACATTATGAAGTTTTATTACATTATGAGCCTCCTATGTTGAAGTTCTTAATGTAACAAATTATTACATTATTACATTATTGAAAAATGATACCATGATACCGGCATGATACTGACATGCTACTGACCATGACACTGACATGATAATGACCATGACACTGACATGATACTGATCATGACACTGACCATGACACTGACATGATACTGATCATGACACTGACCATGACACTGACATGATACTGACATGATACTGACCATGATACTCATATACCACCATGATACTGACCATGATACTGACCATGATACTCATATACCACCATGATACTGACCATGATACTCATATACCACAATGATACTAACATGATACTGACATGATACTGACCATGATACTGATATACTACCATGATACTTATCCCAAATATGGTCCATTATAACATTATGAAGTTTTATTACATTATGAGCCTCCTATGTTGAAGTTCTTAATGTAACAAATTATTGCATTATTACATTATTGAAAAATCTGTTATTACGTTATGCGCTCATTTTTTTTATTACGTTATGAACCATTATTACATTATGAGTTGCTACAGCCCCTTTGGACTTAAAGCACCCAAAGGAACTTGTGAAAAAACTGTTTGACATATTTTCTAAATGGGTTACTGTTCGAGGCTTGAACATACTAACAATAAATTTCAAGGTAAGCACAAATAGAGGTAAACAAACTTGCTGAATGTGCTTTTGAACTTCCTTTCTGCGTGGTAATCATTTATTTTGGGTGGTGCTGCATCTTGTCATGGCAGGGACAAGATGATCTTGCAGTCTTGCACAGTCTACCCTCTGCCCGTCTGTTGGCCTTCATCATCAGTTAAAGTGCATCCTGTTTGTTCTCAGGGGAACAAAAGTGTCTCATGTCTCCAAATCAAACATTGTTTTTTCTTTCTCCACGATAATGTGTTTTCCTTTGTTTGCTGTGTCTTTTAGCTGTTCTGATACCTTAGCCTGTGTGTAGGTGTACAAGCTTACTTGCTTTTAGGAAGCTATCCTGCCCTATAAACAGTGTCCCTCTCAAAACAGTTGATTACTTCACTTACCTCGGCTCCACACTCTCTTCCCATTGCTCCCTTGACATATACATACACACCCGCATCAATAAAGCTTCATCCGCCTTTGGACGGCTCCGCAGCAGGGTTTTCGAAAACCGCAATCTGAAGGTAAGCACCAAGGTTGCTGTCTACAACGCAGTATGTGTCTCTACTTTGCTCTACGGGGCAGAAACATGGACTTCGTACAGGAGGCACATCTCAAACTTGGAGGTAAGGCTGCAACAACGAATCGATTAAGTCGATTCGTCGTGACGAAAAAATTCGTTGCCAACTAATTCTGTAATCGATTCGTCGGGTCTTTATATATGTCCATGGACACCGGCGTGTAAACATCAGCAGAACGCACAGAAAAGAAACAGCCATGGCCAAGGCAGCGGCTGAGAAAAACATGGACACAACCCATGGTGTGGGAAAACTTTACCAAGACTGAAAAGGAAGGCGTTCAGTGCAACATTTGCAAAGCCCGTTTTGCATGGCACGGGAGTACATCGATGATGCGTGAGCACAGGGCTCTCAAGTCTCACGCATTCAGCGTATGACACACGCATTCCCACTCGTTCACACGCTCACACACCACACATTGTATTTCTCACGCATTTAAATGAACACGGTGATGTCCACCAAGTTGCACCTCTTTAACTATGGAACAGGTAGGAATCAACTGAGTTCCTCCGAGAGTTCAGAAGCTGCGTGCCACGCGCAAGCCAATCAAATAAAGTATATCTACTGAACAGCCAATCAAAAAGCAGCATTGCTGTATCCGGGTAGATTTTGATATCTTGCGGTTTGACTACAGAAGAAGACAGACACTCGCCGAAATAGAGCAGGTTTTTATAAGGACGAGATAGACCTGATGATTACAGTAAGTCAGTAACCTTCACATGCAGAGACCTCAACACCTCATGGCAGATAAACTCATATGATAAACTAAAGCCCTATGCTATTGCTATTAACAGCTGCATTGATGAATTTAGCCTGTTTATCCGATTAATCGATTAGTTATTAAAATAGTCGGCAGATTAATCGATTATCAAAATAATCGTTAGTTGCAGCCCTACTTGGAGGCCTTCCATATCCGCTGCCTCCAGGAGATCCTTGGCCTGTCCTGGGCAGATAGAGTCCCTTACACCGAGATCCTGGAGAAAACGAATTCCAACTGTATGGAAGCAGCTGTGGCCAAAAGACAGCTACGCTGGATCGGACACACCATCCGCCTGCCTGAACACCGCCTGCCCCAACAAGTCCTCTATGGACAACTACACAACGCTAAGCATGCTGCTGGTGGTCAAAAGAGGCGTTACAAGGACTACACCAAGGAGCTTCTGAAACGCACTGCCATCAACCCCATGCAGCTTGAAACTCTGGCACTCGATCGCAAAGCTTGGCGAGACACCTGTGCCAGAGCAATCTCACAAATAAACGACAGCAACCAGCAAAAGAGGTCTGAGAGACGTGCCCAGCGACACCAGAGGACGGCAACAACAAAGAGGAGAGGATGTTTCCTTGGTTTGAATTACATCGCTCATTGGCTTTTTGAGGAGTTTCCTCAGTACCTCAAATAAACCCTACCCGGTTTTGGTAGAGGACCAATCACAGGCATAAGACTTAGACTGACATGACACTAAATAGTTTCCACCCAAACAGTTCAGAAGCTGTCTTCAGATGTATGTATGTGTTGGTCATGTTCTATTTTTCTAGAGACTAAATGAATAATCTATCGAACACTCAGTCTATCAGTTTATCAGGAGTCTATTAAACACACACACAGACTCACAGCCAGCTGCCATAGCTGTACTGGATGGTTCCTTTAAAGACAGCAGAAACGTTGCTTATGTCCATGCTGATGCCTTCACCTGGATGTAGTTCAAATTCACTCCGACCAATCGACAGGTTGTGAATCTCCAAACTGGTGGAAAGGGAAACATAACCTCCTTTTATAACATTGTGTATATCCATCTGTATCTGAGTGTGTGAATGTGTATTAGCTTACTTGTCAAGGCCATATTTGATGTTGCCTATGAAGCGCAGAGATTTCTCCCCCTTCACACTTGGATATCTTGCATGTTGAAATGCTGCCTCGATCACTTTAGTCGTTTTTTCATTCACTACCACAGACACACAGACAGAACACAGACACAGAAGCAGGTGAATAGATATAAAAAACACAGCTTGAGAAGCATCCATGACTGTCTGTGGGAACTCTTATATCATACCAATCATTTAGTCATTGTTTCAGGTAATTAACTGTTTTCTTATTGTGTTTACATTATTTTGTGTGCTCATTGCGGACATGTACTGATGAGTCAGATAAGAAAGTTTAAAGCTAACACGGGGGCAATTGATCACTGTGTCACAACGTATAGAAGAGAGACTCTCAGTAAAGAAAGATTTTAGCTTATGCCTAGAAGTGCCAAGGGTTGGTAAGTATGGTTTTAAACTGTTCTGCCTTAACAGTCATTTATTTGAAGTGTATATTATAATCATAACAGTCATTTATATTTTAGCTTATGCCTAGAAGTGCGAAGGGTTGGTAAGTATGGTTTTAAACTGTTCTGCCTTAACAGTCATTTATTTGAAGTGTGTATTATAATCATAACAGTCATTTATTAAAAAGTGTGCTTTATAATCATCACAGTCATTCATTAAAAGTGTTCCTTATAAAAGTGCTCTATGACCCTGACATATGCTCTAGATAATGATGTGCCTTTCATAAACAGACGTGCAGGTGTAGCTCAGAAATGTGAACAACAGGGTGAGGGAGGAAGATCACTCTGTCCTGAGAAGATGTGGAGGTGTAACGCGAGGGTTTGCATGCCCAGCAGTCTGCCCAGTGGGAACTCAGTGAAAGCTTGGAATACATGATGCAAATATGATAAAAAGGAGACAAGCACTGGATGCATCCAATGTCAACTTCCCTGAAACCACGGTTTCGGTCAGGTAAAAAAAATAGAACAATACGTGCTTGTTTGTCCATAGAGAAACACTGGGGACTGCTGGTTATGTAAACTCTCCGCCCATAAAGATGATGAGACGCCTCCTAGGATATAACTATTAACTACTGAAAAATAGTAATCAGACCACCTCAGAGATACTATTGGGTTGATGTTGTGCTCTCCAAGATATCTTGTGTTATTTGCTGTGCCGAAATAAAAGGTTTGTTTAAGACACCTTTTTGCCTCATTGAATCCTCCGTTCCAGTCTCCATCAACGGACTCGGGGAAGTTTGGAATTAACTTCAACACTGTCATACACTATAATTTACTTTCTTTATTACTAACCTGGACTAGAAGTTAACATGAGGTATGTAGACGTGTGTTTTATTTCTTTTTCCTAATCTCATTTTGGAAACATTACAACAGACAAATGCAACAATTCAAACCAACATATAAAAAACAGTAGGCGCAAAATGGCAGCCATGTTTCTGTCAGTCTGCCTAAGGACAGCTGTGACTACTAAGGTAGTTTACCACCACCAAAGTGTGACTGTGTGAGTGAATGAATGACATATCCAATGTAAAGCACTTTGAGGGTCTCTGATAAAGCGCTATATGAAATCTGATGCATTATTAATAACATAGTAAGGTGGTGGTTTTGGGGGATAGACACAGGAATCAGGTTGAGTTAAGGTGTAAGTGAAGTACTTGTGTGTGGTGTCCAGAGGGTGAGCCAGTGTCTGCTTAGTCAAGTTAATTGTGGTCTTATTTTTAAAAATTTGTCATATGTTAATTGTTAAGAAAGAAAGAAAGAAAGAAAGAAAGAAAGAAAGAAAGAAAGAAAGAAAGAAAGAAAGAAGGGAGGGAGAGAGAAAGGAAGGGAGGAAAGGAAGAGAGAGAGAAAGAGAGAGAGAGTGAGAGAGAAAGAAAAAAGGAAGTAAGAAAAGTGAAGAGGAAAGAAGAAAGAAAGAAAGGAAGGAATGAAGGAAGGCAGAAAGAGGGAGAGAGAGAAAGAAAGAGAAAAGATGTAAGAAAGGGGAAAAGGAAGGAAGGAAGCAAAAGAATAAGGAAGGAAGCAATAAAGGAAAGACGAGAAAAATGAAGGATGGGGGAAGGAAGAAAAAAGGAGGGAGAGATAGAAAGAGAGAGAGAGAAAAAGAGAGTGAGAAAAAAGAAAGAAACAAAGGAAGGAAGAAAAGAAGGAAGTAAGAAAAGTGAAGAGGAAGGAAGAGAGGGAGAAAGGAAGGAAGGATGGAAGGAAGTGAGGGAAAGAGAGAGAGAAAGACAGAAAGAAAGAAAGAAAGAAAGAAAGAAAGAAAGAAAGAAAGAAAAAACTCAGTTGAGGCAGGTAGAAACTATAGGACAAATAAGCTACTTGAAATACACTAAACTAAAATGAAATAATATAAAATAAATGATAATAGCGCCTCATACTGTCTTTTCTGGCACCGTAATTGGCATTGTTGTTGTCATCATCCTGATCATCACTGTCAAATCTATTTTATTTTCTTGACATTGGTTGCCAGTCAAGTTCAGAATTGATTTCAAGATCCTGGTGTTAACCTTTAAAGCCATCCACAATCAAACTCCACTCTTTATTTCTGAACTTCTCCACCCTAAATCCTGGGTAAATCCCTCAGATCTTCTGGCCAGGGTCTATTTGCTGTTCCTTGTGCCAAACTGAAAAAACAAAAGGAGATCGAGCCTTCAAACTTAGACGCTTTAGACACATCCGTTTAAACTGGCTTTTACCATCTGCTGTAACTGTTGCCTCTTTGTATTATGTTTTTTATCTGTTATTTTGTTGAGTTTTGTGTTTATTTATTGTCTTTGCCATTAACTTTTGCTACTTTGTGAACCACTTTACTTGGTTCCATGAAAGGTGCTATAGCAGATAAACTTGTTTACTTCCTTACACTGCCAGTATCATTATCATAACTATGATTATGATCATTATCATTATCCATCATGAAGTCTATTTAGACTTAAAAAAATGCAATTAAAGTAGTTTTGTTTGTGATAAACATTCAAACTAAACACCATAAGAGGGTCAAAGTCTACTCACACACAACAGCGGCAGGATAGGTGAGGCGACATACTGTTCCTGTGAATCTGTATGCTGATGAAGGATCCTGCAGGCAGCCTTGAGACACTTCAAGTACAGAGAGAAACAGCAGCAGCAGCAGCAGCAGCAGAGAGGGAACCTGATGAGGCATTGTGCAGGTAGAAGTCTCACCTTCCAAAAAAAAAAATGGTTGAGGTCTTTAACCCTGAGGACTGTGCGCAGTTGGCTGTATGTTTGTGGGTGTGAGTTTCTGTCTGGTGCAAAAACACTGTAAAAGATTGTTCAGTCCACGTCTAAATCCTCCTAATCTTTACTTTGTCCTTACATCAGATCTGCTCAGTTTTCTTCTGTTTGATCCATTTCATCCTGAGAAGTTCCTTTTTTTATTTTTTTTATTTTACTCTCCTTGGTTATTGCAGAGAGAGCCTTGGAGCTGGTGAAATGTGTTCTCTCCACTGCTAGCGTGGACTTTATGTACTACAAAGACCCAGTAGGTACCCTGTCCTTGATCCAATCAGATATGGACAACTTGGATGATTCACGGCTGATAGATGAACAAACACCAACTCAGTCTTTTACACAATGTTACTTTAAAGTAAACTGGTCAAAGTACATGTAGATACAAGAATACACAAATATTTGCCATCTAAAACAATGGACGGGAGACACCTCTTCCTTGTAGTTTTACAATAGAGTCTAAAGAGGACTATATTTTTAAAACAGACTCAGTTATGCCCAGGTCCAACTTTCTCCAAACAAAGACTCTTTCAGTCAGAGGAAAACCTGATACCAAAGCTGGATTCCCTTGTGGTGATTCCCTCAAAGTCTAATTGACCTGTTTGTTCCCCCCTAGACCCCCCTGCTGGATGAGTTTGTTCGGGTGCTCAGGAGAGGAAAATAAGGACAGACTGGAGATAACAACAAGCTTTGAAACTACTCTGGATGAAGGCACAGAAGAACATCTTTGTGGCACATGGGCACCATCTGGTGGGAGGGATGCCGCATCATGTCTGTTTGGCTACCAGGTTGTTCCTAGTAGCTCATCAAATATATTACCAGTGCCCCACAAACAGCTGAGATTGAGATTGAGATTTGATTTATTGGTCCTCTTGGGGAAATTCATCTTCACTGACTGTACATTATAGGAAAGACAACGACATTACACATTACAAACATCAACAAACAGTAAGGACAGACATACATAGTGTGGGACAGTGACAAAAGCAAGAGGTGACAGGCTGGTCAGATAGGTCAGCGGGGCCTGCTGTTAGGGGCGGGCCCTCCTGAATTTTAGTGTTCTGTACCTGCGCCCAGAGGGTAGTGGAATGATGTGTCGGTGTAATGGGTGAGTGATGTCCTGAACTATTGTGTTTGCCAGTCGAGTGATGGACCTGTTATTTAATTCTGTAAGGTTGGGTGTGGGGAGGCTGATGATTTTAGCAGCTTTATTTGTGAGGCGTGACAGTTTGGCCCGGTTGGTGACAGATAGCATGGTGTAAAAACATGTGGAGTAGTACAGGAGGATGGGTTGTATAACGCTTTTGTAGAGTAACAACAGAAGATGAGGTGCAACATATAGTTCTTTAAGTTTGCGGATGGCTGACAGTCTTTGTTGGCTCCTTTTTTGAATGTCCGTGGTGTGCTGATCAAAGGTGAGTTTATTGTCCAGAGTTATTCCAAGATATTTAAAAGTGTCGACTGTCTCAACTGTTTGTGCGTTTATGATGATGGGATCCTGGGTGAGGGGGGACTGAACCCTGATTCTTTTGTTTTATTGACGTTGATCTCCAGGTAACTGTCCGTGCATAGCTTGGTGAAGTGGGTGAGTGTGTTGTGGTAGTCCAGAATGGATTGATTGTCAGACAGCTCCCCCTTGAGACTTTGAGTGTTGGATTTGCATTGTCTCTGTATTTGCAGCATTCTTACCTTCAACAAGCAGGGTTTTGTTTATAGCCATTAAGTTAAGAATGAAAACCGTCCTTTGCCTAATCTGTTATAAGGTCACTGTATGGGTTTGTAAAGTAAATGCATTTTGGCAGCAACACTCAACAACTCCTCAAACTCTTTTGCATCGGGTGCTCTGAATGCAAAATCCCTGGTTGCCCCCTCAGGCTATGATAAAGAGGCTTAGATAGGATGTATTAGAAAACATGTTTTCCCACCTTGTTCAAGTCCTATCCCCAACTCATCAAACCGCTGTTCATGTCTCAACATAGAGCCTGTGGGCACCAATTATATTCAGCGACTGCCTTAGGCGCAATGGCATCGGGCCTTATACCTCGCCTGACCAGTCCTGAAGACTACATCTGTCAGAGGTGCAGAACAAGGCCTTAGGCATGCTTTACAACTGGAAGCTCCCTCCAGGCTAGCAGAGACTCAGTCTGATGTTGGTTAAGAGGATCTGTGGGAGAAAGATGAAGTCAACCTGTTTCAGAGATACAGATTTATTGTCTGCTGTGATTTTCCCCTCCTCTTTTCAGTGGCAGAATGCAGTGGCTCACACCTGGAGAGACTATGTGCGGTTTGACCTTTCTCTGCTGGCAGGGCTTGTGTTGATACTCCGGTGTGTGGGTGCACATACTGTAGATGCACAAAGTTGATGGTGGCCCCATCGGAACAGAGTTTTCCCTCTCAATATGGTGCTTCAGACCAGATCTCCTGTCACATATAGTGGTTCATTCTGCATCCAAGCCTTTAGCAACGTGGAATGGGGATTTTTGCCAGTAAATTATTGACCATACTCAATACACAAGCAAATAGTGCAAAGATTGAATAAGAGACAGTCGACACTTTTAAATATCTTGGAATAACTCTGGACAATAAACTCACCTTTGATCAGCACACCACGGACATTCAAAAAAGGAGCCAACAAAGACTGTCAGCCATCCGCAAACTAAAAGAACTATATGTTGCACCTCATCTTCTGTTGTTACTCTACAAAAGCGTTATACAACCCATCCTCCTGTACTGCTCCACATGTTTTTGCACCATGCTATCTGTCACCAACCGGGCCAAACTGTCACGCCTCACAAATAAAGCTGCTAAAATCATCAGCCTCCCCACACCCAACCTTACAGAATTAAATAACAGGTCCATCACTCGACTGGCAAACACAATAGTTCAGGACATCACTCACCCATTACACCGACACATCATTCCACTACCCTCTGGGCGCAGGTACAGAACACTAAAATTCAGGAGGGCCCACCCCTAACAGCAGGCCGCGCTGACCTATCTGACCAGCCTGTCACCTCTTGCTGTTGTCACTGTCCCATACTATTTATGTCTGTCCTTACTGTCTATTGATTTTTGTAATTTGCAATTTTGTTGTCTTTCCTGTAACTTACAGTCAGTGAAGATGAATTTCCCCAAGGGGACCAATAAATCAAATCTCAATCTCAGTCACTAAAATCTGGTGGGCCTTTTTTCATGGAAAGTTAGATCTGTTAAACTCTCATAATAGTGGTTTGCAGCCTTTTTTTTTTTTTGGTTTGTTTTTTCAATTTTGCCTTAACTTTGCATTCTCAAGATACATCTTTTAACCTTCCTGATGCCTCTGCAAATGAGTCCCTAAACTATGCTTTATTTAAGTTAGGTCTGGACCCAGAGCATACATACATTGTTAGTATATTGATATCACAAATAAATCCTGACAAACTTTTGGGTTCCCCATTGGCCTTTTTTTTTTAAATATTTTTGGCGTCCTAAAATAAATGGAATATCATGTTGCAATCAGCAAGTTAATTCCCAGTAAAAGCCTGAAGAGGAGATACTGTAGCACAAACATCCCCGCACTCCAACACACTCACACACTTATTTGAACAGGACTGAACAAACAGCACACGATGACCCAAAATAACTTTATTGAGGTGATGGACAAATATACTGAAGGAAAATACCTCAAAGTTAAAATAATCTGAAACTGCATCCCAATAAATTAGAATATTATCAAAAAGTTTATTTCAGTAATTCAGTTCAAAAAGTGAAACTCATATACTACATAGACCTTCAGCCAGTTCATCTATTCTGATATGAGGTTAACCAACTCTGGTTACACTGTTTACGCTGAAATCAGACAGCAAATCACCCTAGCAGGTTTGACTGAAATCAACACACCAACAAGTTATTTCAGTTAAAAACATTTATTGCATCCATTATTGTAAGTCTCCTTCAACACAGTCTTCACTTTACAACATCCCACTACAAGCACAACTCCCACAACAGTGAGATATTTCAAACCTTACCATGTAAGTTTACTATTTACACATTGACCACTGTCCACAAGCTGCTTTTTATCTCTAAATGGTAACCATGCTAACTTGAAAGCAGAGGTTGATGCAAAGCACGTTGTGGATTTGAACACAAAAATAAGGAATCCATGGCTCTTTGGTAAAGAGGTGTAAACCAACCCCTAACAGAAGATTGTTGAAAGCCAGCTACTTCAAAAAAGAAATGAGAAAAATGAGCAAAAGAAAAATGAGCATAGGCAAAGTCATTTCTTTAATTTTATCTGTTAATTTAAGGCCTTTAAATGTTTAAATGCTTGAAGTGACATTTATGTGTTTGTTTTATGTTACTGGAATGTTAACTGAATAAAGAGAGGACCTGTTTAAAAACAGAAATCAAATGTCCATGGGTGCAAAAACAACCCCATACAGAGGCACATCTAGCCAGCTGATAGCTAAGTATGCCGTATTGATTTTTCCAAATTTTAAAAACTTACTTATTTTAACAAGATTTTAGACTTTACCTTAAACTCAGCCAAGCCTCAGAACAGCACACAGCTCTGAGCCCTCCACGTGTCATTTCTCTATTAGAAATCATTTGATGTGGAAAAATTATAAACCTTCACCCCTATGAACAAGCTTGTAAATGATACATGTAAAGTGCTTTGTGACACTAACCTTTTTTTTAACATCTCTACATTAAATGTGGTCAAAGATTTGGCACGAATGAGCAGTGAATATGTATTCAATGATGCTCCGTTGAAGGTAAATCAATTCAGAAGTGCAAATATGGTGTGGTTAGGTATGGTCTGACTGTTTTGTGGATCTTTGAGGACAAAATGACAGATTGAGGTTTTATTTTTTAAATCACTGAAGACATATCCAGCTAATATTTCAAAGGGGAGGTTTAAGGATTCAGGTAGTCTGTCGTCAAAATCATACTATCAAGTCAACTAACCTGGCCCCAATCCTTTAGGGCTTTCTTGGCTTCCTTAAACAGAAGCAGTCCTTAAAACCAGCTTAAGCTCTCAACCACTTTTCTCTTTCTACAGCTGTGATCAAACCATTTGTAAGAAAATAATCTGATTCAGACAGCCTCCAGATACAGTACTTAGTTGGGTTTATGCGAGGGTTTTCACTTCAACTGAACATGGCGTGTATAATCCTCACAAGAGTGAGAGTATTGATCTATATCAGAGTCTCTAAATAACTCACGAGAGCTGATTTTGAGCCCCCAGGATCAGAGAATAACTCAGACACAGCAGTGCTACAGTGACAGTCTTCTGATGCCACCTACTGTTGATTGACTGAGTGAATCATACATAGAGCTGTACTGCTTTCACAAGTTATACTCTTATATTTATCGCTGTGATCTAACTAATCCAGTCAAAATTAGTTGCAGTGCTGTTTGTTGTTTTTAGCCTTTCGCCCTTTGTGGTCCACATGAAATTCAACAGAGTCGCATCTTTGTTTTGCAGGTGTTCAATCTGTGGACTGAGGAAAGAAGAAAGTCACAGAAGAGAACTTAGCACTACTATTCCAGATTCTGTTTGACTTGTGACAATGTTCAGAAGGATCGATCTCAACAGCTTCAGAAATCTTGCATCAGCTTTTCAAGCTTCAAATCCAGAGACCTCGGCTCCCCCAAAGAAACACGAAATATCAAAAGTTAAGCTTAGTCCTCAATTGGCCACACCCTGAGGGACCTCAGGTATAAGAGAGGAGAAGAAAGTTTTGAAGAAGACCCAGACCGTCCACATGACTGACACCCTGTGTGGAGGCACTAAAACTGCTGTCATTGGTCCTTGTCCGTCTGCTGCAGCGGCTGCTTCCTCATGTTGTCTTTCAGCAATCTCATCATCCTTTACAAACAGAAACAAAGAAGACAAGTCATCAACAAACAGGTAGTAGTCCACAAACTTGGTAAGTTTTCATCAACTTAAGTATACTAGGTGCACACTAAGAGCCCTCAGAGATTAGACTTCAAAGTATCTGACTACTTTAAAAACATACACTGTAGACACTGTCTACTGATTCACCCTTACGTGGGTTGTCACGTCATCTTATCTGGAAGATTTTGGTCTTACTGGATTCAGGTTCTGGTTCCTGTTCTCGTTCTGTCTGTTGTGCTGGACCTCTGGGGGTTGTACGTGATTTGGTTCTTGGCCTTGCACTCGCCTTCTAAAGGGAAACCAGCCGGCAGTGTGTCTGTGGAGGAGTGAAACAGTGCCAAAAATACATTGATATGAAGGCCAAAAAGGACAGACGGTAGAAAGATCATCAAACGTTTCAATGATGAACATTTTCTTCTTCATGGATCTAGAAGACAAAATCAGCAAAATCCGCATTGTAGAGTTTTGTGTTCACAGTGGGATATTCATTCGTTATCAAATTCTTTAGGGTCTGTTTTAGGGTCTTCTAGGTCTTCCTTCTTTTTTCTTTTTTATTTCCCAGGAAATTCTTTAGTTCACCTTTGAACTCTTTGAACAGTTGCCATGTGTTTGAATGACGAGATAAGAACTGTATCACTTAGAAATGGGTGGAGGAGAAATGACTAAGAGGACAAAGTGAGAGTGGAAAAGAGAAACAAGAGTTTGCAAAAACATGAACCTCATGTGGGGATGTTGCTGATACATCATCAGGGATCAAACACAAATATCATCTTGTTGGTCCACCCTTTGTCATTCAGACACCAACAAAGTTTCTGAATTTAATCAAAACAGATCAGCCCTCCTGTGTTTCAGGAGTACAGCGTTTTTCTCATTGGTAAAGGTTCACTTTTCTTAGACTTCCCTTGACAAACAAGCACATTTGACAACTTTGTGATCTTATTTGATTCCCACCTGAAAAACAGGATGTGTGTCACAAAAAGAATAAATAAATAAACAATAATAATAATCGGCTCGACTGCTTTTGAAATCAAGTGTTACATAACAGCAAACAGAGTGTGAGAGCGGGACATGTTGAGTAAATGAACAACGTGGCCCAAGCTGATGATAATAGTGTCGATGTGGAACAAGCTGTCAGGTGGAACTTTATCAGATAAGAAAACCACATGTGAAACACAGCTGTGACTTCTCAAGGGTGCTCTGTTTCAGTTGGAGGGGAAATCATTTACATGCTGTTTAAATATACAGGGAGAAACCATGAATGCATGTGAGACAAAAGTAGCTTTAAAGAAGATTCGAAAACACTGTAAATTCATGTAGTGAGTGAATAAGTCTTCATGTATATCAAGAATAAATGACAGTGGTTTTAATTCTTCCTTTTCTTTTTTGTGTCAACTCATCAACTCATTTGAATAGAAAAATGAGGAAGTGAGTAACTACATCCTGCTTCAGTGCGCAGGTGAAAAGTCACTCTATACTGACACCCTTCATACCTCAATCAGACAGGGCAACCTTTGCTGTCGAAAAGATGACACAGAATTAGTGTCAACCGCTGGATGGCTCAGGAAACAACTTCAGCTCACAATTTTTAAAATCACACCACAAAAAAAGTCAGAAATGTCACAGTTGAGCACTCTAAAAGGTCAACACACGCACAACATATGTATGTATATATATATATATATCAGGGATTCTTGAGAGTCGGGACAAAACACTTCCTAAAAAACTTTTTTTGAGAATGCACACTATATTGATTAGAGTTATTTATTACTGTAAAGAAAGGTCTTAGCTATTTAACCCCGTAAAGGAACAGGCTCTAAATAAAAACATTTTTTCTATAAATTAACATGTTTCCCTTAGACAGTGGATTTGTGTCAACTCCATCAGACACACAAAAAAGAATATAATTTTAATAATTCTAGTCCAACAAGAATCTAAAGTTCTGATGTATGTTGTAATAGTGTTTAGTTACTCTGATATGCTATGAAATATAATATATAAACCTAGTGTGTGATTTCACACTGTTTTGAAAACCAAGATTTCTAAATAGTTGCATTTTCAAACTTTGTTTTTAATTTTTATATTATAAAAACAATTTCTGTAAGTAAATAAGACACAAGAGGATGTAGAGCCAATGCTCCTTTGTTACTTAAACAATATAAACTGAAGAAACAAATTTTTTTTTCTCCAAAATTGAAGAAAAACATACATCTGACGGTGTTGACGAACACCTGACGGAGTTGACGAGAAACTGACGGAGTTGATGACATTGCATATGTTATTGAACAAATGTGTTTTTAAACCGATTGACAATAGGTCAATAGGTGAAAATAGATTAAGAACTAATAACTCATTATTTTCATACTGAACATACCGTTAATGCAATTAACCACCGCGCCGACAAGGCGTTTCCAAGCACATTTTCGTATTTTGGTGAGTTGTGCAGCCTGGCATAAGTATCCCCCTCCCCTAACTCAGCTCCTTCCAGCGGCGTAGGTCATAGGGAGGGAGGAGAGAGGGCGTTGAGTGGGTTTAACACAGCCGAGACCTGTATTGACCAATAACATCAGCTTTTCTCGCCTTTGAATCCGCCACTAGCGTGGCGTATTACCATTTTCGTGAAGTAGTCAAAGAGATCAAGAGATGTCTGAAGACAGCAATGCCACACGATGGCGACAGAAGGCAGCTCCTCAACAAGTGTCACTGTAAGCGCTGCATTGGGCGTCCTCTGCACTGTCTCATATAAGCACAGATGGATTTGGTGTGTGTAATGTTTGACCCACTGGTAAGACAAACACCCTTTTCCACAAATAAAGACAATCACATTAAATTGCATATATTTAAACCTCACGTGACAAAGGTGGGTTGTGCGCAAAGGTCACAACATAAATTCCAATAATGGCATTAAAATCGGAACCAATCTGTGTGTAAATCGCGCTCCGTGGCCTGGCTCTTTCTTTCATAGATCTTGGCATATAAAATAAATTTGGCTCACAAAACTGATTATTATAATATTTGTATGTAGGCTTAAAGTAAAAAACTCATCTGATCACTGGAACAAATCATCTGTTCAGCTGCCGCAGCAGCAGCTGCAGCAGGACGGGTAGAGGACACGGAGACATGTCCAGGTTGAGCTGCGCGAGAAATAAGAGGAAGAGGAAGCTAGAAATGGGGGCAGACAAATTAAATTTCTTGTTAACTTCATCATGTGTGTTTATTTACTAGATATTTGATTCAATTTCATGTGGATTCAGCAGCTGTGTTAATTTGGTCAGGTTGAGTGTCCAAACATGTGCCAAATGCGCTCATCAGATCAGATATAGATCAGAATATATCGATATAGATCTAAATGTATGTGCTGACACAGATTATTAGTTGTTATTGATTATTTATTGCATGGAAATGTTCCTGACACTGTGGAAACCTGCTGGTGAGGCCGATATGCCGCCGGTCTCCCAAAATACCACTAGCCCATCCGGATCCACCTGAGCTGAAAGCTGACCAGGTTTGAATCTGCGAGCTTTCAGCGCACTTTACACGCCGGCAACAAGTACGAAAATGTCACTGCACCAGCTGATTCTGTGGACACCTCACCCTGCCACACATCCACGCCCAGCTTGGCGGACCTCGGTGCACCTCAGTCCACGAAAATACCAAACTGGCTGTACGCTGAGCTCCGCCAGACGAAAATGCCGCTGCGCGGGGTTCGCCACCCTCCGCCATGTCGCCGGTGGACACAAAAATAGAGCCCAAGGTCTGAGGGTCCAAGTTAACAATGTAAAAATAATAACCTTTTTCTTCTATCTGGTATCCCACCTACACTGGGGTTTAAAAGAGCAACATAGAACTTCTTGCGCACTCTATAAGAAGCCAGTGTGTAGATTTTAGGTAGTGAAAATTACATACTGCACCTTTAGGATTGTACATTAATCAATCAATCAATGATATAAGGTGTGTGTGTGTGTGTGTGTGTGTGTGTGTGTGTGTTGGGAAAGTTTGACAGTTATAATTAAGCAGACAGCCTGCCCATGGTCTACTCTACAAAACAGAAGTATATGGTAAAATAACGTAATATATGCTATATATGTACTTTTATGTGCAGATAAGACCCTGGAATAACATTGTTATCCTTAACCATGTTCAAAAATAGCATAATGTCAGCACATTAAGAGGTTATAGGTGGATTTGTCAACTCCATCAGCTTACATGTCAACTCCGTCAGACACAAAATCTGACGGAGTTGACGTCTGACGGAGTTGACATAAGGGCATGTATTTTCCCTCCAAAACATTTATTGTACAGTGCAGCTAGCTACTTTTTTGGCAGTTGCTAGCTGTCCTGATAATCTCACTAAAATACTTTAATTGAACTCACTATGGTTTAAAAAAAAGTATAATAATGGATAGACGGTGTTGACATGGTCCAGCTGTGACCATACAAATATTGACATTGTTTGTCTAAAATATCAAAAACTGTAAAACCTACCAGACCATGTGTGGTGGTGTTGCATTCACCAGAAGCAGGAAATGAAAAGGGGACCTCAGGGATATAGCTGACCATGATATTGCATGATTTAATGAGGTTTATAGAATAATCTGATGGAGTTGACAGAAACTGAGGACACAACTTTGATAGGCAGATTTTTAGGCAAAAAGCTTTTTGATATTCAGGCCATTCATTGTTTATATATTTATAGCCCTGAATTTTTATTTGATGTATATGTTTTCACAATTATAGAGTTTTTTAAAGTTTTTTGGGGCTGGTCAATATTGTGACCTCTTGCTGAGGACACAAGCAATAACATGGACCTTCTAACCACAGACGTTTCATTTAAACAAATATCCCCCCAAAAAGTAAATATCTGTGCTAAAAAATAGGATTGGTATACACAAATCCATTAGATTTAACTTTTTGAGTATGTCAAACATTTAGAATTTCTTAATTGTTTTGAACAAATTAGACTTTTCTATGTAGGACATGTTTTGTCCCGACTCTCAAGAATGGGTGATATATATATACACACACACAAATATATGTACACACACACACACACACACACACACACATTTATATATATACATACACATATATACACATACACACACACACACACACACACATACACACCTATATATATAAAACTTCTTTTTTCCAGATCAGAAGGAACAAGACCAATTTTAAACGACTACAGAGAGTCACACAAATTTATAATCCAGAAAATACCAAACTTGACTAACTTCTCACAGCAAATACTGCAACTCTGCAAATCACTGTACATGACAGGTCCACAACTATCTTTTGACCATGGTAAATCCAACGGTAGAAACTCAGTAAGGGTTGCACTTTTAGTGGAGGTCCATCACACTCAAGTCTCGAAGACCATCTGGGATTATACATATAGAAATACATACATAAAAACCCTTGAAAATATAATTCCTTCTTCATAAAAGCAAAGCCAGGAACTTTATCAGGTAGAGCACATTCCCACATGGGGAATTAAATCGTTTAAGTGAAATATTAACAAATATGCCTGTTTTGACTTGATGTAGCAGGTCACTGTTTCAATTTTTCATTCAGTCAGAGAGAAGTAGAGAAAACTTCAACTTCTGTCCAAGATGTCCAAGAAAGATGGTGGAAAAAAAAAAAAAAAACAGAAGAGTAGCAGGAGGAGGGTTAGTGGTCAACCGGAGCGTGTGTTTAGGTGAATCTGCAGCACAGGCACATCTTTGATCAGTGTTTTCAGCCTCACTTGTTGACCAGGAAGAGGCTGGTAAAATGTACGTTTGAGTGAGTGAGAACAGGGCCAGGATTTACCTTTACAATTTGCTGCAATTGCCTTTCCCTTATTTGTTCTTATTCAAAGCTTTGGTATAACAGGTTTTCGATTACACAGATCCTGTAGTCTGGACGGTAAGTAAACACTGTCATCCGTGACTTTATCTGTCCAGTGACACAGAAGAACGACTGATGCATCTCCACAAAGCTTCTGTTTTAGACTATTTCTATAACATTTTCAAAATCAGCCATGACATATATGTTTGTGTGAGTCTAATTAAATCATTCACAGAAACAAAGTCCAAAAAAGGCTCTGGATACAAACCCAAGCAGCTGAGGAGAGTTTTTGAAAGTAAGTCACTGAAACCTGTTAAATAAAGATGCTCAGCCAAAATGAAGTTTTGAATATAACAATGTGAAGACACTCACTGTCAAATTTGAAAGCAAAAGATTGGACTCACAGGTACATGAGGAAGAGGATGCCCATCACCAGTAGAAAGCGACTCAGGTTAGAGTTGAAGTACACAATCATGAGCAGAACACCAAATCTTGCAGCCGTATACAACCAGTCCAGCCAATCACGCTCCATGTCTTCCTCGTCCTCCATCACTGGCCCACCCTGTGCGTTCATCCGCATATTTTGGTTGGCCTCCCCGGGGTCAATAAAAGCCCCATCTTGTGCTGGGTTCTGATTGGCTTGCAGGTTTTCAATGGGGTTCTGATTGGCTAAGGGAGCTGGTACTGGAACATGTTGGGCATGAACAGGAGGGTACTGGCCGATGGTTGTAGCTGGAGCAGAAGGGACGGTGCCTGCCGCCGCCAATGCAGCTTGACTGTTGGTGGAAAAAAAGACAGAAATCAAGCCTGTATGACCAACTTTGTAAAGATGCCAATGGTCATGTCAGACACTAAAGCAAGACTGTTGGCTTAAGAAAAACAGTTTGATTAAAAATGAATAAAATCAATAAAAACTCACTATTGCATGTAGTACTGTCTGGCATAGACATGCTGGAGCCACAGAAGCTGCTGAGGACTGTAAAGGGAGTAAGTGGGGAAGGCTGGTTGGGTCATCTGTGGCGCTCCAGCTCTGCAGGGATGGATGAGAGTGTCACTGATTGTTTAACGCTGTTATGATAACAGTAGGGGGGCACTATGGCTAAGAACAAAAGCAAAAAGGTCATGTTTCCCCTTAACTTACTTCTGATTGTTTTCTCTGGCAAAAAAAGGGGCTTTAAAAGTCTTTGGTGTCCCCATTTGGCAAGGCTTATGAAAGATTTTGCCCCACCTAAGCAGCCTCAGTAACACATAATTACCCCAAATTATGCCTCCTAACATTATTATTATTTTTTTTTTCAGCTCCTTTAATGCCCGACTCTATGACCACTGTGTATTGCTATCATGCTGTCATCATTGCTGAAGTTGGTATAACTAGAGAAGCAAGCAGTCTGCAAAATTCATCTCTTGAGGGAGTGTCTAACTCGGTGTCACAGTGTGTTTGACAATAATTAAATGTACGCCAGAAAAGCCCTTTAAAGCGCAAAAAGTTCCATAATCGTCCACTAAATGTGGATTTGACCTGCACTGCTTACACATCTTACTTGGTATTATTTCCTTTGAACTAGAGAGCTGATAGGATAAAGTCACCATTGTCTTATCCAGCTGATTTGGACCAGTTATATAGATCCTGCAATCATGTAAAGAAAAGGTCTTGATTAGTCAGCAAAAATGTAATAGTATTTATTCCTAGTATGACTTACAGTGCAGCAGCAGGCCATGTCCGAGCTCCTGGTGGAGACACTGGAGTCTGTGAGTGAGCTGGAGCAGCAGGTGACATCTGAGATGTCTGTCTCCTCTGTCTCAGATCTGGTGTGCTTGGAGTCTGGACTGCATGGGAGGGGCTGCTGGGGCCAAATGAAGCAGAGGCTGCCGTGGACTTTGGACTACAGGAATGTGGCTGTTTGGTCTGCAAAACAAGCGTTTGAAATCCCTTGAGATCTCAGAAATGTCTGTCTCTTGGAGCAACAGTACACTCTAACACCATAATAAGACCAGCGTAGTGAGGGGCTTATTGTTTAAGATGTACAACCACCTGAAATGTTCAGTCTGCTGATGCAGAGAAGGTGCCGGAAAGACTCAAGATATACTTTTAGATGTACTTTTGATCTCATAGGTGGAGCTGAGCTCTGAAGCTAGATCGCTCGAGTGAAACCAGTGTTTCAGCTCCACGGCCGTAAGAAAATGAGGAAGGAGATGCACCTTTCAGGGTCTAAATCTACCATCTGGACATTTTTCAGTGTAAGTTGTTCAACAGAAAAGACCTATGTGCTTCTTTAGACTGATATCCTACATCCAAAACTTAATTTCTATGACTTTATCTTTATTACATAGGTTGAAAAACATGTTGTGATCTCAAGACTCCTCAGAAAGAAACAGCAAACTTATCAACAACCTGAGAAGTTCTTCTGGGTGGGTTTGAGATTAGTGATGCCACCTGAAAACTAAAGCACATCTTGGTTTGATTCCTGCTCATAGACTGTTTATACAATGAACAGCGTCTGCCTCCATAAATTTTTCTCCCCCCTGCTTGCGGTGTTGATATGTAGTTACAGTAAGACTAGTTTGTGCTCAAGTCCTCTTTTTTTCTGCGAAGCTCCGTTTTTAGAAGTTATTAGGGGGTTCATGTTTTATATGATTGACACTTGATACAGCTTATTGGCGTTCAGGGATTGCGTAGCTCACCCGGGGGATACGCTGTTCAAGCCGGGCGCGATCACAGCGACTCTCGGCAATTCTCCCGCCGACTGCGTACAACTCTACTGCGCAATGCTGGTTTCAGGAAATGAAGAAAAATCACGGAAATACCGAGAGCTTTTTGGCCTCAAATCTGTTTACAGGCGGGAGGCGGAACCAAGTTGTCTATAGTATATACAGTCTATGTTCCTGCTACTGTGGCACTTTGGCATAACCAGAATAACTTTTTATTCTACCTTAAATAATACACAGGTCCTTTTTCAAACATAGAGACTTCCATACAGCCACAAAATTTAAGGCTGCTCGCAGCGTTTATCGTGATGTGCCACTTTATCAGCCATGAATCCAATAGTGTCATGCATTTCTACTTTAGAGCATCTAGCAAGAGTCATGACGAAATCTTCATGTCTCACCTTAGGCCTTGCTCCCAGTGCATCATGGTTGGGATTATGAAAAGGACACACCAGATGGATTGTGAGACCACAGTCAGTCTGAGAAAGTGGAGATAAATGCTTTATCACAAAATCCAAACAAAGTGAAAACACTTTTACATTCAAATAGTACAGGCAACAAAACAGGTCATTTGCCAATTATTTTCAGGATCAGGCTAAAACTCAAACATTTACACAGATTATCACAATGTGATTTCCTTCATTCCCAAAGACAAAAGCACTTTGGTTCCATAAACCTAAAATTCATCTTTTCAGTGTCAGGATGGAAATTAAGCTTTCTAAAAATCTTTGTTCAAAGTTGTTTAAACTTTGTGTGTTCTTTGAACAGAACTGAAAATGGAGTAGGTGTTGACACTGACTCCTTCCTGAAGATTTTTACAGGATTTATGTAGGTATAATCTCGTGGAACATAATCCTCTGGAAAGAGTCAAACAACAAAAAACATGAATACGATACCAGACAAATCATACTGTACTGGTTTCAAAAGGATTGTTTTGCATTGAAAAGCCAGGGAGATCCTCAGAAGTCCTTTATTTAACACACAAAGGTTCTTCAGTTTAAAGTAGGCCAGATGAAATCTCTCCACCTAGTTTTGTCAAGCAGCATACAGGCCTATAATTGACTCGTCACTAGTCAACTCTGTAAAGTTCTTATCATTTCAAACCTCACTGGCATGCTGCTCTATGGCCATATTTTTGGAGCATGGCAGTAGCCAGTTACAAATACACAGATACATTTAGAAGACATACCGCTCTGAAGAGATCTTTTATGTGAAGGTAGTCAGGCAGCAGTTTACCAGCGTAGATCAGCCTCTGGTCACTCACGGCCTGCAGAAATCAAGTTTCAGTTTGTCAAAACTTTAATGCTTAACAATCTCTATAACAAAAATCAAATAAATCTGCGTTAATCATTCTAGTACCGTTTCTGCAATTGGTAACAAATACAGGGCCAAACAAGAATAGTTGAAGGTGGAGTGGAGTGGAAACTTCAGGTGATATTTAAGTTGGAAAGGAAAAGCAGGCCTGGCTTATTTATACCTCAGAAAACCACCAGTTTTACTGTTGGCTGACATTACAGAGATCCTTTAAAAAGTTACGGTCATTTAACACATAATACTAGATATGGAATTGCATGATTTGATATAACAACACCCCCCATATACCAACAACTTATGGTGCTGGGGTTCTGCTCAAGTTTTAGTGTCTCTCACTGGAGGATGCACCAACCTACTTTATATTATGAAGTCAATACTTATCATGTTATATAAGTTAATTACTTTAATGTTTCTAAAGTGCTGTACAAATATCTTGATGTTTAACTGCAACTGTCTTGGTTATGCAATCATGTATTCTGCTTAGTCCTGGTGATTTAGCCTTGTCAGAAGCACATGGCAAACTCCTCTTGTCAATAAAAGTTTTCATACGTAATGATCAACTTAACTCTGGCACCTGGCTGTCACTCAGACCAGCATACTGTGGAGTCTACTGCCTGGCACCACCTTAGATACACAACTTCTATCAGGACTCAAGCGAATCTCAATGAAGAGTGGTTCCTCCTCAGATCATTGCTATCTTCTTAACAAGAGATTCAACATATTCTCAAAGTGTTAGACACAGAGCCTTGGCTTCCTGTCTTGTAAAAAAATTCCTGTCTTGGTATTCAACATATTTTTTATTATTATCCAACCACTGTGACGGCTCAACATCTGTCCTTGTATTTTCATTGAGTTTTTTAAATAAATGGTAGGAGCACACCTAATCACATTTTTTTTCCACTTTTTAGTTTGGTTGTCTTGTAAATGGTATTTAGTCTTTAGGACCATGTGACAAAAAAAACTTGTACTAACTAAAACTTCAACTTAGTTTACAAATCTCAAACAGCACGGGAAACTGAAATTGAAAACAATCAGTCAGACCAGACTTTTAAGGATTACACTATTATAACCTTGGTGACAAAAGCTGTAGGGATGACTCTAGAGAGTTATGACTGGTTCGGCACTTCTTCCACCCCTTCACACCCCTCCTTTGTGCAAAAGGTAACAGCCGTTTGAGGTACGCTGAAACCCCCTTTGAAGTTTATCATGTTACGTCGTCGTAATGTATCTGTTACTGTTTACTGTTGGTATAATTAGCTTGGGTTCACATACACAAGTAGACAATAACAGCGGTATATCTGACAGCTGGTCGCTGGCAGCAGCGTCCTTACATCAGCTCGTTACGTCACAACATTCCAACACAGCCTCGAGCTAACTCGTTTTGCTAACATTAACTGGCTAACTTTTCCGCCGTGTGACAACTCACCGGTTTGGTTGGATAAACAGTCGACAGATGGGTTTTGAGGTCCCTCACAGTCCAGTTGAGACAGACGCCTTCGACGGTTTGGTCCTCCTGAGCCTGGCTGGGCGTTTTGATAAGAACAGTGACTGTCCTCTGTTGAGAATCGCTCCCATCCATTTTCACTTTTCCTGCCGTAGTAGTCTCGCGCTCACGTAGATAACGTTTTCTCAGTAGCCCCAGAAACAGAAGCCGACGTCCTCGTGATTCAGTGTTTTAGAACGATGAAGCAAAGCGACACAAATAGTCTTTGAAAGGACTCGTGAGACCTCCAAATGTCTCTCGGCTGGCTGTCATACGGGACTGTAACGAGGGTAATGTTGTTTCCAAACACACTGTGGCCGCTCCTGATTGGTTGCCGTCAACTCGTGCTCAGACGTGGATGCACGAGGAAGTGTCACACCTTGCGCGTGCGCAACTGGACATCTGTACTCCGGGGACAAAAAGATATCTGAATTTTTGTTTATTTTCGTAGGAGCCAATGCAGACAGCAAAGTCAGTCCCGGATAAGTTGTCTACTTCTGTAATCTTAAGGCTTTACAGAAGCTTAAATATGTTTTAATAAGGAAGATACTCTGTGGAACTTAATATCAATTTATTTCACAAGTAAAACTTGTACAAATGCGACAAATAACCAAGAGTAGGCATCTACAAACTCTCTGAAATACATGCACTCAGTGGGGCTAGAGTATCAACACATCACTACTTGTCTTTTTCTTGCATTTTGATTTGTTTTAGCAACAGTCTTAAGCAGCTTAAAATAATATGATAATAATAATAATAATAATGAGAAGAAGAAGAAGAAGAAGAAGAAGAAGAAGAAAACTTTGTTGAAATGGAATATAATATTAATATCTATGTTACCTTGGTATATCACCTAAATACAAACATCATTTTGTTTTGTCAACCTAGGATGAGCCTTCCATATCTGCATAGGAGCAGGTCTCACAACATAGGGATGTTACTGCAGTGTTACACAACTTGTAACTTAGGGGGAGAAGAAAGTGGTTGTTACTGCGCCAAAAGAATCTTTACTGATAGATGATTTTGATGATAGAAACTTGACAAATGGAGGATGAAACTAACCACATATCACCACAGCTTCTCCTCCTCAAGTGCCACTGTTACTTGTTCAGCTTTACCTACTTGAGGGGTGAGCAGTAGAGCTTTTCAATCTAGAATCCGACCTCTAGATACCACTAAATATTCATACACTGTACCTTCAAGTGATGAGATTAATTAATGCCCAAGGTGAAAGATGTTTCTTTTTCATACACGAAATGTACAAACTTTGTGTTTGCCTGATAAAGACTCTGTTGATATGACACAAAATTGAATATCAAGACTGAACAAAATGTAAAGATTATTATTATTATTATTTTCATTAGTAATTCAGAACCATTTATTTAAATAGCAAAACAGGTATTTATGTGCATTCAGTCTTTTGGACTTATTTACTGCAATGATGACAAATATGAAGTTGAGCAAATTCAAGTGTGAGTAGCTTTTCAAGACAGTATGTCTAGGAAAAAACTCATTTCTCCTGAAAAGCACATAAGACTCTTGTGAACACATATTCAACCTTGACACATTTAAAAGTAATGTAAATGGGTTTGTGGACTGTAACACATGTACTGTGTACAGTATGTCGGAAAGATGAGGGATGATGAGCTGCTTGTGGTATAAAAATTTGACAGCAGGGGGTGCTGTTCAGCCATGTAGCCTATGTGTCCTAAAGCTGCCACATCACCAGTTTGAAGTTCCATTATTGGGCTAAAACTTCAGGGATCTGGGTCTGAACCTCTGTTTTCCTTACACACAAGCAAGGCTCGTTGGTCTAGGGGTATGATTCTCGCTTAGGGTGCGAGAGGTCCCGGGTTCAAATCCCGGACGAGCCCAGTTTTAAATCTGTGATAGTTACAGAAATTTGAAGCAACAGAGGGAACAAAAGTCAAGGCTGCATTCTATGAGATCAAACAATTAGCAGTATGTTCTCACTGATCTCATAAATTGTAAGTAGAAGAGTCAGTGAAATGAGAATCAATAAAATGGTTCAGTGGAGTGTCAACTAAATAGAGAGAGAAAAGAGAAAAAATTCAGCAAGATAGTACATTTTGAACTGTATTAATCTGCTGTTATATTGGCTGTGTTATAAATCAGTGCTCCAATTGTTTTCCTTCTTTCTGTTCTAAATCCTGAGGTTTACATGAGCCTATCTACAAAGGCGATTAAATGATTTGGAAAACACACTAAATTGTCAAATTAAATATACATGAATGATGTGGCTTGATATTTCTTTTATTTATTTATTTATTTATTTATTTTTAACAACTATTGCTTTTTTCCTTAGATTACAGTTAGACCTAAGGCAAGACCTTTGTCAGATTAATCTGGGCTTTATGATCTTGTGTATTCATGTTTTCTTATCATCTTTGTTGAATAGGAAAAAAAATCCAAAATGTATCCACAAATTCTTCCTGAACAGAGGTTTAAAAGTCACTGGACTAAGGCTTAGTCTCTCCACTGTCATAAGTCATAAATGACTTTCATTCATGAATTCATATAAAACTAATAATTATTCATAGTTTTCTTGGGTGAGAAGTGAATTAATATTTTGTAATGTTTAATTTTGAACTTTTTAATTTTATTTCTATACCATGAACTGACACTGAGCTATATGTGGGAAAGAAAAAGGTGTTCAACCCTTACCTCGACTGTTAAATGACCCCAAGTATTTTCTTATTAAAAGTTATACTTTTATTAGTAGTCATTTTTTATAGGTTTGAAGAGCGTAAAAGAACTAGCACTGAAAGAGTTTAAATCATTTGACACTGATGTGCTGATGTTACCGTTTTTGTGCACAAACAGGCCTGAGCAGTTGTTTGTTTTGTTTTGTTTATTCAAAGTGTTGACAAAAAAGGAAACTTAACAAAATATAAAAAAAACCTAAATTGGGTTTATAAAGAAGAATGGTGTTCATATCGTTGGTGGTGCCACATGTGCCTCTCTTTTGACATCTGTTTTGCTTCGAATTTGTTTGTCTGCAAAGTGAACTGCATGTGTTGGTGTTTGTTTATGTCTATTTAAGATGACTCAGGGCGGTACCCCTTTAAGTAATAGACCCATGAGCAAGGTTTGTGGTACTCTGAATGCTGGCTGGTGATGGTCAGCCTGCTGTACCATGGTCCTGCAGAGCTAACAGAAGAGGCATCAAAGAGACCAGGATGTTGTCGGTCTTCTTGGACAGGACAGTGTCAACTCCTTTGACAATGAAGCAAGGGTTGTCAACCTAGGAATAAGATACATGAGGCAAGGTCATACAAATCACAATCTGAATTCAAATTACGATCTAAAGTGGAGGAATTTAATTTAATTTTAAAAAGTGGGAGATGTGAAGAGTAGTCTAAAATTAAAAGTGGAATAGTCAAATTACAGCATTTTCCTCTTGTGACTATGCCAAAATAATTTTCTGAGACTACTTATTTTACTGTGCTGTAGTTATCAAGTCTTTACCTGGCAAGAAAAAGAAGTGTTATGCAGGAAAACAGTCTTGAAAGGGATAGTGATGCTGCGACCCACCTTGATGCTGGGGCTTGGGGGGAGGCAGATTCCTAGTATGGGGAAGATCCATTCTCCACCAATTCCTGAGGACAAGGTGAGCTGGCCCCTCACTTCTCCCTGCTGATGAGGTTCAAAACGAACCTCCACACTGGCCTCTGAACCCACCTGGGAACCCGGAGCAGCACTAACATACTCATCTACTCACATATTCGTCTGCAGGTGGGAGAAAATCAACATGATCCATCACAGCAAAACAACAGAAAGAATTTATTAGTCTGTAGCATGTGTAAGGTTTTCTTTGAAAAGAATTTCTCTCCAACTGAATGGTATGATGTGTAGAAAATGTTGCCTCATGAGTCTCACATCACAGAGAAGTCATGATTGGAAAACATATCAAAACAAATCTCTTTTGCCAATCATTTAACTTCTAACCTTTGTTAGAGATACAGCAGTAACTCATAAAAATAAAATACTAGATACCAACTTTTGACACTGCTAATGTGCTAATGTTTTTATTCACATCACAGGGTTCCAAGTCAAAGCTATCTTTGTAATCATTTATCCTGAGGCAGCTCGACTGACATCAGTCCTTATACATGGGTCAGTCCTTCAAAAATGTGCAACAACTACTAATTTCATGGAGTAAAAACAAGCCTTGTCCATAAAATAGAAACATGGTGTGCACTAAGGATTTATAAGTCATGAGGTTCTGTTTCATATTTTCTTACCTTGCATTAGTACTCAGTTCTGAATCGAGAGTAGTTGATGAATTTAATGAGGACAGAATGGCTGCTGCCCAAAGAAGTGCTGAAGTGGACAGTTTTCACTGTTGGCGGAGGCTGAGCTCTGAGGACCAGATCATAGTGGAAGTAGCCCAGATCAGGAGAGTTCAGAGTGAGTCGAGCCGTAGACTCACCTGCATGCAGTGGCAGGTATTCAAAGCTCAGAGAACTCTAAAAAGGAAGACACACTCATAAGAAACATATATTAAATACTGTCAGTATACACCTCTCTTTCAATAGAATGATGAACTCAAGCTCCACCTTGGACTGTCCTGGCACAGTGTGCAAATTTGGTGCGCCGATGTCAGGACTGCTACATTCAGTACTGAGGCACGCCCGTGGTGGTGAGAGGGTTCTCCACCTGCACAGTGGCTAGGATCATCCAACGAACAGCTGTTTCTAGCTCTATGGAAGATATTACCCCTGGAGAAGTCACCTTGAAGCTAACAAGGTAAAACAAATACTCGCCAGATGTCCTGTTTTGAAACATCACCTGAGGAGAAGTAGAGGTCCACATATGAAGAAGGCTAAGGATCATATCAGATCTGTGAATCTGTCTAGGCTCAAACCTTGGTATTGAACTGCCCCTCTTTGTAGGTATAAAAACACATTTTGTAGTCTCTTTTGGACAAGGAGGGGACATCAATGTATTCAAAACCACTGAGGGACACTGTGGCATCTGTCTTGTCAGGATTCAGGATTTCCATCAGCACACAAAACCTGAGTACAGGGACACTCATGACCAAAGGTCCTGACATAGAGAGTTTCTAGTCAATACAGTTATTAACTTAATTATCAGTGTATGTAAATTCAAGTATGTCAGAATTTTTGCTCAGTCCTAAAATAAAAAAATATTCAAGACACTATCTTTGAGAAGCACTGGGTATATAACAAAAAACTTTTTTAAACCTATAATGCCATGGGTATCATTGATACATACATTTCTGAGACCTATTGCACCACAAAATGGTAAAAACTTTGCTCAAAACTCTGATGTGTACATTTTGACACTAGTCTTCTGCCCCCCGGAGGACACCTTTTGCACTACAATAATTCTGGCAGATCACAAAGTGCTATCCAAAATAGCTGAATCGCATTAACCTCCTGCAAGTTATGTCTAGTAGAATCATGTTACTATATTTTAAGACTTAATGGTGAGATGTTCTTTTACATAGTCATTATTATTGCAAAATGAGCTGCTACTCTTTTGAAGCAACTTATAATTACTTTATTTTTTCGCATTTTATTTAATAGTAAAAATGTGCTAAAACAGCGGGTACAGAGGGGAATTTAGCGGGACAGTTATCTTTTTTCTTTGTGCGATATACATTATGAGTGTGTAATTCAGTGTTTTGATGAATTAATTAATCAAATTACAGACTGAAATATGATGTTTAGAACAAATAATTGGATGAAAATTGAGAGGCTGATATTTTAGATGGTTAAAAGGAAGTACAGTACAGAAGATGTCCTCTTTTATTTCCTTTTTTTTTAGCAGGGCTGCCGCAATTTACTATTATTATAATTATTAATTATTATTTATGATTAAACTCCTCCTGTTTTCAAAGTGTCTCAGGAAGTAGTGAATAAATCTGTATGGCACTATGGTGATAAATCTACATTACACTACCTACCTAGTGCTGACCTAATGCCAGGTGCATTGGGCAACAGCTGGTGAAATGGCCAAGCTTTTGAGCAGCAAGAATCAGGTGTTGAAAAATACCAAAACTTAGCCAAAAGAAAGTAAGTGTTGGAATTACAATTTTGGGTGGACTACAACTTGATACTGAAGGAATGATGTGGAAAATGCTGGTTTGTCAATAGGAAGTATTGTTATTGTCCAACTTGGTGGTGATGACATGGCAGTGAGTGTGCAGTGTGTTTCTATTGTCTCCAAATAATGAAAAATAAGTCTGCTTTTGCAAGTTGATTGTTTCTGCAATATATAATGTAAAACAAAAATTAAAAAAACTTGAGACTTAAAGATGTTTATGTTTGTGTGTGTGTTTACCGCTGTTGCTTGGAGAGCCAGTTGTGTACAGGGATCATCTGTGTCTGGTAAGTCTTGGCAGGCAGCTCATGTGGAATGGTGTCCTCTGGCTTAGGAGGCTCAGCTGTCCCCTGCAGGGAGTAGAGCATGCCGCTCCCATCAGGAAAAGAGAAAAAGACAAATCCCTGTGAAGACCGAAGAGAGACAAAAAACAAGGTCATGTCTGGGTTGATTGAACAATGAATCGCACAGTTTTAGCGGTCCGCAAGGAGCACACAGGTAGAGGGACTGTTAAGAGCTCTTTACCAGGTGTTTCTTCTTATCTGCAGTCATGGTCAGTGGTTTGTTGGAGTGGTTCAAAGTTGATGGAAGTCTCAGCACCCCACTGCTCACCCTCGATGACAGGTTTGATCCAGCAGTGCTGGTTTGTACGGTTAGACACAGTAAGTGTCTGTGTGTAGGAGCGCCGCACTGGGCAAACATAATTCACCACCTAGTAATAAGAGATCGGAGAGATGTATTTCACCACCTGGTAATAAGAGATTGGAGAGATGTGTTTCACCACTTGGTAATAAGCGATTGGAGAGATGTATAATCATGTATACTTTTGGTTTGTGGTTGCAGTGTTTCTGCAAATTATCTACTCAAAATAAAGTTTTACACCACTGTTCATCACATGCACAACCCCAACAGAGTAAATATTCAATAACTGATAGTATATGGAGTTAATGAATCGAACCTCTTTGCTGGTGAACGCTACTGTGCAGGAGCCGGTCACATTGAGGATAAAAGGGGAAGAGAAGCCCTCCCTTGCATGTCACATTCTTATATCTTGTGTCCTTATTCAGGTTCACAGGAGCAAAAGTCACTTGAAGAGGAACTTCCTTGTCTAGAGAGATATAGCCTTTGGCAGGTGCAATGGAGAGCTCTGAAGGAAATGAGTCTGTTTTCCACTGGAACTAGAAAAATACAAAAAGAGATTAAACTTCAGTTTATTACTCCACTTTGTAGGACAGTTACTGTTATTGTTATCTCTTACTTGCAGGTTATTCATCTAAAACAGCAAGAAGCCGCTTTCTTGTGTGATGTATTGAAAACAGTGCGTCTCAAAGCTTCCAGCTAACTGAATATATGGTAGCAAAAAAATGTCTGTGCATGAAAGACCAAAACCCTTTTCTCATAAATGAACAAAGTGAGAGTTTAATGCATTGGAAATAATATACTACATGCACACCAAAGTCTGCTTTCACAGCTAACAGTCCATTTTCGTAACACATCTGAAATTACTTATCCAACCCATTACCTGCAATCGGTCTGTTGTATTTCTTGTTAACCACACAGCTAATTTACACCACACTGTGTTTTAGGCCCATCCGACATAATAGGGTAGATGATAATGTGAGCTGGGCGTTTTCCATGCTGTGTACTGACCTACTGTCTGTTGCCACAGCTTGAGTTGTCACTCCTGCTGGGCTGTGACTTCTACCCCCCGCCACTCACTCGCTCATTACATAACTGGTGAGTAATCCTGCTTGTGTGCAATTGCAATCAGGCAAAAAAAAAAACCTGCTGTGGGTTTAGACTTGTGCTCCAAGAAATGACTGTCCAAACAGCAAAATGAAAAGGAATGTATTTGCATCCACCTCAAAAACAGATTTCTTTACTGTGTTTTATCTTTTGTTGTCCAGACACTAAGGCCATTGAATTTGCTGTCCTCTTGCAGCATAAATACCATAGTTTTACCTTAAAATGATCAGACTCACCTTCTGATCTATGCCTTGCCCCATTATGTCCACTTGTTTCATGATGCTACTGTTCAGAATAAAGATCAGTTTCTTATGGTAGTGGCATGCCTCACGAGGATAGAACCTGACTGGTACCTCCATCATTGCACCAGGGGACAAAATATCAGCTGTGAGGACAGTTCAGAAAGCACTTGCCGAAGTTGTATTTGGTGAAAGAAAATTGAAGGCTAGATTTTACAACCCTGCCTTTGAGGGCAAAAGCAAATGTTGGCCCATGCTTTACCTGACAAGATATGAAGCATAGCGGTAGTTCAGGCAGGTCCTGGAGTCAAGCGAAAGGCTACAGTCAGCTGATCTTAAGCCAGCTCTCAGTCAGCTGATAGCTCAGGTGATCGCCCTCTACACATCCTATTGGCTAATGTCAAAATGGCGCCCTATTTAATCTGCTTCTCCTGCCTACTCTGCCTGCTGCAACCACTCTGCAACCCACCTCCACCCCAACTCCTCCTGTTTATGTTGTGTCTAATCTTACCAGTGTCATATGCATTGTCACTAATGCTTGCTCTGTTTTGTGGGGGGATTTTAATGTATTTGTGTTAATCGTAACATGCTGCTGCTTTCTCTGCCTTGGCTGTGAGTACACAACATTTCAGTCGTGTGTGACAGTGTTTCAGTAGTGTGTGTGAGAGCATTTCACTTGTAAGTGTGTGAGGTTTATACTATAGTGTGTGAATAAGCTTTGTTCTATATTTGTGTGTATGGTAATCCTGAATAATATCCCTGATGGCCCCCCATAAAAAACATCCATTTTGCGAGTTTATCATTCAAAACAAGAACTCATTTCACTCGGGGGCGGGGGGCAGACAGGACCACATCTGAAACAGGAACAAAGATTAGTGACTTCAAAGTAAACAGGTAGGACAAGACATGAAACATGAATGTGCCAAAATAAAGGAAACTTAACAGACATTACACATCTCCTCCTCCAAACCAGATCTTGTAGTGTGGCTATAGGCAGCTCACACTGAGGCTGACCTGTGGGGTTCCCCAGGGGTCTGTCCCTAGACCACTCCTCTTGTTACCCCTGGGTCATATCATCCATAAGTTTCCACTCTTACACGGATGATATCCAGCTGCACCTGTCTTTTAATCTCAATGATTTTAACCATTTCAACACATTAAATAACTGTATCAGAGACATATAATGATGGATGTCTCAGAATTTCCTGCAGCTAAATTTGAATCAAACTGAGGTCAAGATTATTAGTCCAGGCTCAGCAGGAGTGGTGACTCATCTGGACTCTCTGTCACAAAATTGTACAGCCAAATTCTATCTTGATTTATGCAGCTGAGGAGACTCTCCAAAGTTAGATAATTTTGAATCCGAAAAACATATCACTCATGCTTTTGTCTCTTCCCGTTTGGACTACTGCAACTCTTTGTTCACGTATCTGAACAAACAGAGTTTACACAAGTTGCAGCTCACCCTGAATGCAGCAGCTCACCTCCTTACTAGAACCAGAAATTATAAAGTCCCTATGTTAGCTTCACTTAATCGGCTCCTGGTAAATTTTAGAATTGATTTGAAGATTTTATTGTAAACTTTTAAAGCACACTCTGGTCTTACACTGTAGTACATTTCTGATCTCCTCACTCCACATCATACACCCAGCTCAAAGGGTTTTGGTCTGCAGCACAAGGGTCCTCATTAATATACATATTAACCTTCATCCACAACTGAGTGCATTAAGATAAATATTCAGACAGATCAATGCAGTCTAGGTGCCAAGGGGCCAGATATCAGTCCCAGAGAAACTACTAACACTTTGAAGAGCCGCTCAGTAGGTTTAAGGTGAGTGCCTTCCTGAAGCTACTTAGTACCGTAGTACCTAGATGGCTGAAGTTCACAGTACATACTACTCTTGGGCCTTATATTATGGGTGTCAAATTTGGTGTATGTATCTCAAGTCAAAATATTGGAACATGGATTTGATCTTCAATACTGCTCACAAAGGCTGTAAGAGTGCATAAGTCGCAGACCCTGATTTTCTCCAGTTTCACAGGGGGGTAATTTTTTTTTCCTTTTAACCTAGGAAGTTGAAATTTTAGTATAATGTTCTGCCTGCCCCAAGGATCACATCTGTTGTGGTATGAGAGCCTCATTTTTATTTTTATTTTTGTTGTTGCTGTTGCTTACATTTTTTTCTCTTTTTTTTATATAAAATTGTATGTATGTGTCTAGGTTAACTTTATCTGTGCTCTCTGTGCATGAGAAGTGTATTTATCCTCCTATGTTTGCTGTACTGATATTAATATAATATTTTAAAAAATTATATAGTTCTATAGTCATAACAATTAATATTTGATCAAATCTACAGGCCTCATCTGATCAACACCAAATTTGCAAGAATATCAGGTATTCATGACAGAAACCTTTCAAAAAGAGTGAAAGAGTTTGAAATTCACAAATCGAGTTGTTTTATGTGACAGGGTCTGCTGTTATCCACAACTGCTCGACATCTGGGGATTGTTGGTCAAACTAAAGTGTATAAGAAAAGGCCCCAAGTTTTGATTTGTGTACGTGTGGATGTGTGTGCTGATGAACAAAATTGTTGTAGCAGTATGAATACACACATCTGAATTTTAAAAAAAAAGAGATGAAAGAATAACCATGAAAAGAAATGACATCAAACTACCACTTTAAAACATGAAGACAAATTAAGCAGACATTAATTTATTTTTACAGGATCATACTTACTGTGATTTGGTTTATCTTATTAAATAACATTACATAAACAATTTATTGTATGAACAGCATTGTGTAAATTCTAATACAAATATTGTTCCATTCTATGGTTTGTATTGTGGCTAAAACGCTTTAATCTGTTTCATTTATTTTTTAAAGATTTAGTTATGCTGTAAAAATCAAACAGCACTCATTATTTAATGCATAAAAACGTATTTGTGGTCAAATGTAAGTTTGACAAATGTTTTAAGAGCAACTTGGTCCATAACGCGCATCAACTTCCTTCCGTTTTGTCACTGATAGCATCCATAGCTACCACCGTAGCAACAAAAAAAAAGTACTATCGCTACAATTTCATTGAGAGAGCTGGAAGAAAGAATGACAAAAGAACTCGGGATCGTTAAGTTAAAGAGAAAAGATACTATGAAACCAAAGTGTAGATTTGTCAATAGAAAAGTTATTAAAAGGAAGCTAAAGCCACAAGCTATCAAGCTAAATATAGCAATTTCCACCAAAAATCGAGGGGATGTCCTCCATGTTTTTTGTTAACCCATGGAGAAACACGGCAGTCACATGAACTGAAGTCTGCCTGCAGAAAAGACTGGGCAGATGAAATGTACCCATGCCACAATTTTAGAGCTGTTTTTGTGAAATGGCTACGTTTTTCGCAGTGGACCAACGTAGTTATTTCACGCTTTTGAGTGAGACTGCGCTGTAAGAAGAGTTTGTTTGCTGAAGTTTGTGTTTGTGCAAAGGGTCAACTGTTCTTCAGCTGCTGTTTGTGTTTATGATGTTTGTGTAGAGAGGAGGAGACTCCCCCTCCTACACAGAACACAAACACACTGAGGAACCATGAGACCAAAGTCTAAATCCAAATCCAAGATAGAGAGGTTGAGTGAAGGTGGTATTGAAGGTGTGGAGGTGGATCAGTGTGTCAGAGGAGACGCTGTAAAAGGACAGAGTGCCAGCAGGACAGTCCACATACACTGCTACTCTGTCAGAGACAGAGGACGAGGGGAGATGGAGGTCAATTTCTGTGTCACTGTGACAGACAGAGTAACCTTCATCAGAGCAGATCAAACTCCAGGACTGACCATAAAATCCGAACTCACAGTCACGGCTGCTTCCTTTCCTTCTGATTCCTCTGTAACTCACTGATATATTGACCTCTCCTCTACACTCCACCTCCCAGTAACAGCGACCAGTCAGACCATCTCTACACAGAAGCTGAGCCCAGAAGTCAAATCTGTCTGGATGATCAGGGTATGACTGAAAGTCTCCCACATATGTCACCTTCCTGTTATTTTCAGACAGTCTGAGCTCAATGTGTGCTGTGTTTGAGTCCAGTGTGAGTTCACAGAAATCTGACAGAGAGAAAAAGACACAACACAGCAGCAGGTTATCATCAGACACACCTGAAGGCTTTCTTCTTTGTTAGCTGACAGTCTGCTGTTTGGTCATCATGAGTCAAACTGATTCCACACTTACACTTCTTCAGACCAGGTTTTAATCTCTGCTCTCCACTATGGTCCACCCTAGAGGAAGAAACACAGTCAGAATGATTGAGTGCCCAACATGAGTCCTACCTGCTGTCCAACATGAAGCAGAGCTCCTCAGTTTGTCCCTGTGACAGACAAACAGGCTGAAACTCATCTGAGCCAACAGCCTCCATCACTCTGCTCCTTTTTCTGAGTCTTTCTGACAGAAACTCCCAGAAAAAAAACAACAAGATTCAAACAGCAAAGGCTGGCTGTCGGTCTGTCCTACAACATGGAGACTTGATTTGGACCCTTTAGAAAAAGACATTCATTTGTTCTTTTAGGACAGCTCTCCACACTGCAATCTAAAAAGCTCTTTCTAAATAGGCTTGAAACCTTGTCTGAAGATAGAGAGATGAAGTAGGGGGCTCTCTTCTTCTAAATATGAATGAAGATGAAATGAAAGCTCTTAGATGAACTCATGTGAGTGTGTGAGCCTCTTCTTGGATCATTCAGAGTAGAGCAGAGGGAGTAGAAGCATAACACCTGGAACAGCAGGTGGATTTCCTGCAGTTTGGGATGGACAGAAAGTGGAGCAAACCCAGTACATGTCCTCAAACAGCCCCTTAGCTTACCTGATCATGTTTGAAAGGGCTGCTGCTGCTCTCACTGAATGTTGTGCCAGTAAAGCATCAGAGCTCAGCTGATGAAGCTAAATGAAGACTATTTGATCTCCTTTGAACCCACTTATGCAAACAGTACTTTGAGCCCATGTTTCTGACTGAGGGTGGATGTATAAAGGAGGGCCCAATCCCAAACTGCCCACTACACACTAGCCCTACACACTCCCCCTCCGTTTGCACGTCCCAGCAAAGGCTCCGCCACATTGAAGGCTGCCCCAAACCAGAGAGTGCCCAGGGAAAGTGGACCATTCAGCCTCTAAACAGCGAGTCTGCACTGATGCACACTCACGGTAGAATTTGCAGGTAGTGCGCCAGCAAAAATGGAGGAGGAGGAAACAACATACAAATATAAGTTCTGCATGTGTCCACCTTTGTCTAACTGACAAAAAAAAATAAAATTTAACCAGATGTGGTTCCGAAAGATCAAACGAAACTCGGAAATCTTACTCCGTGCTGATGTTTGATTTGATTGTGCAGGCACATGTCAAATAGTAAAGGGGTTCAAAGATGTGCCGAATCACTTACAATCAGAAGTAAAATTTAGCTCCAGTCACTGTGGGTTTGTTTGATGGTTCACCAAACAAAGAGAGCAAAAAAATCAAGAAGAGTAGACTTTCCCATATCAGCCAGGAGAGTTGATCCTGGTCTGTATGGATGCATGAAATAAAGGATCTGGAGGAGATTTGAATGTTGTTCTGCTCTAATCATTAAACTAGACGTGAACCTTCATCTTGTAACACCAGATGTAATAAAACATCTTCTCTGTGTTCTGACGTGGGCTAAAGGACTGTCAAATGTGTTTTGAACTTCAAATATGAACCCATCTCTCTCCTGATCATCTCTGTTTTTAGTCTGTGTGTCTGTTCATCAATCAGGGAGCTGTGAAATGACCACAGCGTCAGAATATTAAAGTTTGGACCTCTTTCCACCTGAAACACTGGATAAGGTCTATTCTTCCTCATCTTCCATCATCTTCACCTCCCTGCAGACATCTGCATGTGATGGGCCAGGTTATAACCAATCAGAGAGCTTGTTTCATGACTTATCTGCATTGTTTTATCTGGTTTACCAGCTCAAGGCCCAAAGTGTAAGGCAAGGAAAAATGGAGAGGGCAAAAAAAAAATCAAAGACTTTGCTAATCGATTAGCTACAGGAAAAAAAGAAAAGCAGCCAGGAAATGGAAATTAAATTGAAAAGAGGAATTGTCCTTTAAATGGTTGATAATTGTCAGTTCACTTTTTTATTTCTCTTTTTTAAAATTGCATTTTCAAACTGATTTTTAAACTATTTATTAAGGAATGCATTCATGTATTTTTAAAGAATAAACTTTTGTCCAGTTTTAAAGTTTCATTTGTAGAATCTTTTTATATTTCCCCTATTTGGTCATGGATGAACTCCTGAATTTGGAAACCAGTTTATGAATTCTTGTTTTAATAGTACAATAACTTTTTTAATTTCTGCGATGCTTGTGGTCCTCCATAAAGAGGATTTAAAAATGTTTTGTCATATTCAAAAGGTTTCCAGCTCCACTCCTTCAAAATATCAACCATCACATCCTCCTTCGAGACCAGAGGCAGAGGGATGAGTTTCTGCAATTTAGGACAATGTGACAGTTCTCAGAAGAAAACTAAAAGCTGTTGAACAGAGGAACATTTAGACTGAAAGACAAACCTACAGTTCAGCAACACATTTTAGAGTTGGACCGTTCAGAGAAGATGCTCATCCAGATGCCCAATGTAGCAGACAAATATCTGCTGTTATTGTGTGGAGGAGGAGACAGAATAACAGACACACATCAATCTGATTTAAAGTCATTTCTCATGAACTGTTTGAGGGTTAGTTTTTTACTTATTTATTTCCTCCTCCACATGGATGACATCAAACTCTATGTCAGCTGGAACAAGATCCAAGCCATCAACACCTTTGCTCTGCCAGCTATCAGATACCCTGCTGGCATGCATAGCCTGGCCAAAGGAAGAAATAGAGACCACTGACATCAAGACAAGTAAGCGCCTCAAAATGCTCAAACAGAGATTTTTACCCTAAATCTAGGACCCTTGGGGTCTACACTAAGAGGAAGGAGAGAGGCTGAGAACTAGTGAGCATTAGAGCCACTATCCAGGACAACACAGTTCACATCCAAGAGTCCTTCAGAAAGATGGTCCACAATGATGACCTGCAAAGTGAAGACCTCAGGCAGCAGAAACCAAATATATTTTTAGTTGTCTCTGACCCAGTAACTGTCTGGTTATACCTCAGTGTATCCAGTCTCCATAGAGAATCCTCCAGTCCAGCAGAAAGCAGTTTTATTCCCAAGTCTCCTGGATGATTGTAGTTCAAGTCCAGCTCTCTCAGGTGTGAGGGGTTGCAGGTCAGAGCTGAGGCCAGAGAAGCACAACTTCCTTCTGTGACCAGACAGCCTGATAACCTGGAGTCAGAAAAATGTATAAAACAAGGAAAAGTGTACCAACTTTGGACAATTTCATTCAAACAACGATAAAGCTCAATCAGGAGGAAACCTGACCTGAGAGTTTCCAGTTTGCATTGAGGACTCTTCAGTCCAGCAGAAAGCAGATTCACTCCTGAATCCTGCAGATCATTGTTATTCAGGTCCAGCTCTCTCAGACTGGAGGACTGGGAGCTGAGGACTGAGGACAGAGCTTCACAGCTTTTCTCTGACAGGTTACATCCAATAAGTCTAGAAAATGTAATTAGATTGAAAAACATTCATTTTTATGAGATAAATTATAAAGTTTTAATGTTATTCGAAAGACTTTTCTTAATCTTCAATGCTACTGTTTACCATTTCAGTGTCCAGCTCCTGATGATATGAAATGGCCAACATTAAAAAGACAGACTGATTTTGACTACTCAGACATGTCCTTCCTAAAACTAAAATGATTTTCAGGTTCTCAATTTATGTGTCTCTTAGTTATCTATTGGTTTTCATTCCTCACAGAGTAAAATTCAACATTTAACCTAACACAGACCTGAGAGTTTCCAGTTTACAGTGAGTACTCTTCAGTCCAGCAGAAAGCAGATTCACTCCTGAATCCTGCAGGTCATTGTCACTCAGGTCCAGCTCTCTTAGACTGGAGGACTGGGAGCTGAGGACTGAGGACAGAGCTTCACAGCTTCTCTTTGACAGGTTACATCCAGTTAGCCTGACGAAGAATCAGTGATTAGCACAGACATAAAGTTTCATCTCTCATGAACAATAATTTTTCAGTCTCTCATGTATCCACCTACAGAGCTTTGTTGGAGGCTTTGACCACTGGCAGCAGCCTCAGGACAGCGTCCTCTGAAGCAGAGTATTTCCTCAGGTCAAACACGTCCATATCTTTTTCTGATGACAATAAGATGAAGACCAGAGCTGACCACTGAGCAGGAGACAGTTCCTCTGTGGAGAGACATCCCGATCTCAGGGACTGTTGGATCTCCTCCACTAGAGAATGATCATTCAGTTCATTCAAACAGTGAAACAGATTGATGCTTTTTTCTGCAGACAGATCCCCACTGATCTTCATCTTGATGTACTGGACTGTTTTCTGATTGGTCTGTGAGCTACTACCTATGTGTGTCAGCAGACCTCTCAGGAGATTCTGATTAGTTTGCAGTGAAAGACCCAGGAGGAAACGTAAAAATAAATCCAGGTGTCCGTTTAGACTCTGTAAGGCCTTGTCTACAGCACTCTGATGGAGATTTGTCAGATTTCTGACACTGAAGATTTGAAAGATTGAGAATGTTGTTTGTTGTTCTTCTTCCATCAGGTTGACTCCAGAGTTGGTGAAGGTCAGGTGGACATGAAGAGCAGCCAGAAACTCCTGAACACTCAGATGGATGAAGCAGAACACCTTGTCCTGGTACAGCCCTCTCTCCTCTCTAAAGATCTGTGTGAACACTCCTGAGTACACTGAGGCTGCTCTGATATTAATGCCACACTGAGTCAGGTCTGATTCATAGAAGATCAGGTTTCCTTTCTGCAGCTGCTCAAAAGCCAGTTTTCCCAGAGACTGAATCATCTTCCTGCTCTTTGGACTCCAGTGTGGATCAGTCTCAGCTCCTCCATCATACTTAATGTTCTTCAGTTTGGACTGAACCACCAGGAAGTGAATGTACATCTGCGTCAGGGTCTTGGGCAGCTCTCCTCCCTCTCTGGTCTTCAGCACAGCCTCCAGAACTGTAGCAGTGATCCAGCAGAAGACCGGGAGGTGGCACATGATGTGGAGGCTTCTGGATGTCTTGATGTGGAAGATGATTCTTCTGGCCTGCTCCTCATCTCTGAATCTCTTCCTGAAGTACTCCTCCTTCTGAGGGTCAGTGAACCCTCTGACCTCTGTCACCATGTCAACACACTCGGGAGGGATCTGATTGGCTGCTGCAGGTCTTGTGGTTATCCAGAGGCGAGCAGAGGGAAGCAGGTTCCCCCAGATGAGGTTTGTCAGCAGCACATCCACTGAGCTGGACTCTGTAACATCAGTCAGGACCTGATTGTTGTGGAAGTCCAGAGGAAGTCGACACTCATCTAGACCGTCAAAGATGAACACGACCTGGAAGTGCTGAAAGCTGCAGATTCCTGCTTCTTTGGTTTGAGTGAAGAAGTGATGAACAAGTTCCATCAAGCTGAACTTTTTCTCTTTCAGCAAATTTAGCTCTCTGAAGGTGAATGGAAATGTGAAGTGGATGTCCTGGTTGGCATTGTCTTCAGTCCAGTCCAGACTCCACTTCTGTGTTAAGACGGTTTTCCCAATGCCAGCCACTCCCTTTGTCATCACTGTTCTGATTGGTTCCTGTCTTCCAGGTGAGCCTTTAAAGATGTTTTCTTGTCTGATGGTTGTTTCTGGTCGCTCTGCTTTCCTGGATGCTGCTTCAATCTGTGTGACCTCATGTTCATCGTTGACCTCTCCAGTCCCTCCCTCTGTGATGTAGAGGTCTGTGTAGATCTGGTTCAGAAGGGTTGGGTTTCCTGTTTTAGCAATCCCCTCAAACACACACTGGAACTTCTCCTTCAAGTTGGACTTGAGTTTGTGTCGGCACTCTGCAGCAGCAGATCCTGAATGAACAAAAAGAAATGTGATGAATAATCTGAAGCTACAATCAGTCTGATGAATTTACACTTGAAGACATCAGGATGGATTTGGTTTCCCTCCTCTCTGAAATCTCTTCAGCTCATCAGCTGTGATCAGTTTCTCTCAGTTCATAGATGTGATACAAATGTGTGCATCGTATGAACAGTAATGTCTGAACTGTAAACCTCCCCCATGTTGTCTCCATTTCCTCTTTCCATCATGTTAAATCTCTTCAAATCCTCTTACTTCTCTGCAGACATTCAGCCAGCTCCTCCTGCTTCATTCTCCTCAGGAAGTGCACAGTGATCTTCAGAAATGCCCCTCTGCTCCTCCTCTGCTCTTCATCCTCATCCTCCCTCTGACTCTCTAAGCATGCTGGCTCATCTAGACTCAGAACTCTCTGGATGTCCTTCAGCTGGTTTTTTACAAAGCTGATCATGTTCTCCTGGAGCAGCTGGAACAGAACAAAATATGAACTTGAACTTGTAGAACTGAACATCAGATCATCTGTGACAGACAGAAAGCTTGCTGGTCTGCAGAGTGCAGCATGGAGACTGGATCACAATGATGCTTCAGTTTTTACTTTGTGGGTGGTCCTGTCTTTTACAAATCCAGTTTCTATGAACTGAACTTCAGTTCAGTTCATAGAACTGAACCACACCTCAATCTTCTGGTGTGGTTTTATGGAGAAAAAGTCTGCAGTGACTTTAGAGGTGATGTGTTTATTAGAATGAGGCTTAAAGCAGCAGCTGTCAATGACACGAACCAAAGTCTTTCTGTTCTTTAAACCTCAAACTGGACTCAGTTCGTGAACTCTGCTCTCTGTGTGGTGAGACACCTCCTCCTCTTGTTTTATTTTGGTTGGACTTTCTGTGTTTCTTTGTTTCCCTGGTCTGGTTTGACTGTTTTAGAGCACCCTCCCCCTCCCTGGTCACTGAGGATGAGTGAGACTCCACACCTGCACTGCATCTACAATCATGGCCCTTGAAGAAGCCAGAAGCCCACAGTCTCAGCACCTGAGTATTGTCTTCACTCCTCAGTGGTACAGACGCCTTTCCCGGCCTTCTCCTCGGCTAAGTGCTAGTAATTTTTGCTCCCTGTGATTCCTTGTATGCCCTCTCACTTCTATCTCCTCTGTTTTCTCCACAGTGTCTCCAGCCCACACAACAGCCAGCCAGCCAACCGGACTTTCTCTTGTGCCTTTTCCCTGGAGGGTGGCGGACCCCACGCAGTTGTATTTTCGTCTGGCGGAGCCCAGCGTACAGCCAGTTTGGTATTTTCGTGGACTGAGGCGCACTGAGGTCCGCCAAGCTGGGCGTGGTGGCGAGACAGGGGGAGGTGTCGACAGAATCAGCTGGCGCAGTGACATTTTCGTGCTCGCCAATGGCGTGTAAAGTGCGCCGATAAAAGACTGGTCAGCTTTCAGCGCAAGCGAAATGCAGCTGGTCTAGAGGTATTTTGGTAGACCGGCGGCGTATCGGCATACGTCACCGATGCCTCACCGACAGGTTTCCACAGTGTCAGGCACATTTCAGTGCAATAAATAATCATCAACAACTATTAATCTGAGTCAGCACATACATTTAGATCTATATAGATATATTCTGATCTATATCTGATCTGGTGAGCGCGTTTGGCACACGCTTGGACACACAACCTGACTGAATCAACAGAGCTGAAACCGCATTGAATTTAATTAAATATCTAGTAAATAAACACACATGATGAAGTTAACAAGATATGTTATTCGTCTCCCTCCTTTTCTTTCTTCCTCTTCCTCTTATTTCTCGCACAGCTCGTCCTGGACATGTCTCTGTGTCCTCTCTCCGTCCTGCAGCGGCTGAACAGATGATTTGTTTCAGTGCTCAGATGAGTTATCTACTTGAAGCTGACATACGGATATTATAATATTCAGTTTTGTGAGGCAAATTTATTTTATATGCCAACATCTATGAAAGAAAGAGCCAGGCCACGGAGCGCGATGCGTCATTTACGCACAGATGGTTCCGATTTTAATGCCATTTTTGGAGCCATTTTTGCGCTCAACCCACCTTTGTCACATGAGGTTTGAATATATGCAACTTTATGTGAGTGTCTTTATTTGTGGAAAAGGGTGTTTGTCTTACCAGTGGGTCCAACATTACACACACCAAATCCATCTGTGCTCATATGAGAGAGTGTGGAGGACGCCCAATGCAGCGCTTACAGTGACACTTTGAGGAGCGGCCTTCTGTCGCCATCGTGTGGCCTTACTGTCTTCAGACATCTCTTGATCTCTTTGACTACTTCACAAAAATAGTAATACGCCTCGCCGGTGGCGGATTTAAAGGCAAGGAGAGGAGCTTATGTGATTGGTGAAAACAGGTCTCGGCTGTGTTAAACCCACTCCACGCCCTCTCTCCTCCCTCGCTACGACTTACGCCGCTGGGAGGAGCTGAGTTAGGGAGGGGGGATACTTACGCCGGGCTGCGCCGCTCACCAAAATACCAAATTATGCTTGGGAACGCCTTGTCGGCGCGGCGGACCTGACTTACGCCGCGCCTGCGGCACGTCTCCGGCAAGGCACAAAAATAGAGCCCTACATCTTTAATTTACTATCTGTCTCCGTGTCTGCTTCTGGGTCCACAAAATACACCACACACCACACTCTGCTGCCAAAGGCTGTGCCCGAAATGAATCACTCAATCCCTAACCCCTAACCCCCATATGGGGTTTCACTATATAGCTTACTATGTTGTGAGCTCAATTAACCGGAGGTTTCGGACACTACATGGCATGACACAATGCATGATGGGATGCCCACCACCAGTAAGTGACCATTTGATGGTCACTCCATTTTGCAATGCTCTATGGGAAATTTTGAGGTGCCTATATGGGGCATTGGAATTGACCACTCAGGTTTCGGACACCCCTTAAAATGGCGCTAACCCCCATATAGTCACCTATATAGTGTGAGTGTAAAGATGGTTCAGGCAGAGAGGATGTTTTCAGCATCATTAGGAAACAATCCAGAAACCTCCAAATTAGTGTTGGGCAGTATGACGGTATATACCATGTGACAGTACAAAAGTGTCTACCAGTAGAAATTTTGCTATACTGTTTATACTGGAGAGAGAGCAGATGTCTGCTGCTGCGTCTCTCTGAGTCGGTGTGTTGTTGTCTGTGCTCACTAACAAGACAGCCGGAGCACATCTGTTTAGGTGTGTTTCCATATATTCACCAACGTGTCATGCAGAGTTTGTTCGCTCCGTTTGATTGGTCGGGTTTGAGTACAATCCCTATAATCAGTGTGTCCAGCAGACTGCTTGGCATAGTTTTGACGAAAAAGAAACAGCTTCACTGGTGGTGGTCATGGCAGACACAGAGGTTAGTGGCAGAACAGGGCAAACTGAGGCAGCCTGACCCACCCAACACGAGGAAGAGGAGGAAGAACTCGTTCTAATAAGGGCGAAAGTTGCGACATCGGTTGTCTGGGGATTCTTCGGATTTAGAAAATCCGACAATGACCAAAAAACAATAAAATGCAAAGAGTGTCATGTGGCTGTCGTTGCTGGAGGTGGAAACACCAGCAACCTCTTCTACCCATAGACTGTATAAAGAATGGACGCTGTCTGCCTCCTCGCTGGGTGAAGCCACTCCGAGAACAGCACCCTCTGATGGTGGGCTGCAGTACAGGTCATAAATCCCGCCTCCTCCAGCAAAGCTCATGGGACTGTGGACAAACTTTAGAAATTTATTACACAGAACATAAATTTTTTCTCCCCCCTGCTTGTGATGTTGACATGTAGTTACTGTAAGACTGGTTTGTGCCCAAGTCCTTTTTTTTCTGTACAGCTCTGTTTTTAAAGGGGACCTGCCATCAAAATTTCATACCCATTTTTATAATTTTTTCATAATCCTTGATGTCCTCTGATCATGTTTGCAACATAATTTTAGCTGAAAAGTTATTTGATGGTTTGTTTTTAGTATGCCTAAAAAATCTTACAGGAAAACCAACTGATTTTGGCTCATTAACATTTATGGTAATGAGCTTTGCTCTGATTGGATCGCTGCTGTGAAGCCTGCTGTGCTCTGATTGGCTCAGCAGTGGAGGTTCGGATTTCGGTTTATCCATTTTGCTAATGTGTGGTAAAGTAAGGTGCCCAGATGTCTGTAATGGTATCCGGGGATATTCGGTGCGGCGCTGCAGGGGCTGTGTGATCACAGACAAAATCTCGGTACTATTTAGTAGCAGCGCATGCCCCTTGTAATAACCCCCATAAGAACTGTTGTTCAGGACTGCTTACTTGTGCTTCCTACCCATTCGGCTACTGTAATAACCGTTGTTCGAGCCCGTCGAGGGGATGTCTGGTCACTTTATGCTAAAGGCTAAAACTGGCAGGTATTAAACCATATATTTTAGACCCCGAGTCCGACGAGGAGGTGGAAGTTGAAGAAGAAGCCAGAGATCTCCAGCGGTGTTTTCTCATTCATTCTGCCCAGCTTTAAGTTCCTTTTCCCGGCAGTGAACCGAAGGAAACACCGGTCATTTGGAAGAGACCCATAGCGGATACAGTGGTAGCTGGGTTTCGCTCTGACTGTGACTGAGTACGAGAATGAGAGAGTGGGTGCGGCTCACCGAGGACGCGCTCGTGAATAATAATGAGCAAGGTCAGCGCGACGTCAGAGGGACCTGCTTTTTCAATTGGCCTGGTTTACCCGTTCTTTATTTTAAACCTTTACAGAATGCAAATGACGTAACGGTTTGTTTTCACATTTACAACATAAGACGAACATAATATGGACCTTATCTGACACAAAAAACACACAAAATTACATTTTGATGGCAGGTCCCCTTTAAAAGTTATTAGGGGGTTCATGTTTTCTATGATTGACACCTGCTACAGCGTATGGGCGTTCAGGGATTGCATAGCTCACCCGGGGGGATACGCTGTTTGAGCCGAGCGTCATCACAGGCCGAATGCGCGCATCGCTACTGCACAGCTCTGGTTTCAAGGAAGTGGAGAAAAACACAGAATTACCGAGAGCTTTTTGGCTTCAAATCCGTATGCAGGCGGAAGGCGGAACCAGGTTGTCCATAGTATATACAGTCTATGCTTCTACCACCTAAAGATGAAACATGCCAAGCTCTATCATGAGAGCCAAAAGATGCGTGACGCACCAATTTCACCAAAAACTAAAGTTGCAGGAACTTCTCTCATACAAAAGAGCTTGACAGAGTCTTTCGCCAAAGGTATGCCATAAGATAAAAAATCAACAGACTGGTCTGGTCTGCAACAGTATGGTTTATTTTAAGCCATTAATTGAATTAACAGGGGAAAAAAACATACTGTAATATACTGTTTACCATGAAATGAAATTACTTATACCATGATATATAATTTTGTTCATACTGCCCAACACTACTCCAAATATACTGAGTGTCTGCTCTGATTATCAGTAGGAGCTGTGTTTGTACATTTACACTTACCATAAATATGGAGTCCAGCTGTGTTTGATGCTGCTGGGCAGACTGACCAATGGGAACTTCTGCTCTCTGCTGCTGAACTCTGTGGAACAAACAGAATCTAATGTAGTGGATATAATATAAGGAGACACAGGGTTACATTTGACAGAGTCTATCTAGTGGACCCTGGTAGAAACACTGCTGGATCCTCCTTCAAACACAGGACACACATGAAGATATATGCAAAGTCCAGTTCTTTCTGGCTCAGATCCTGTTTACTGCTGTTCGATCCCAATGGAAACACAAACCCTGAAAAATCTTCACCTTCACAGAGAAAACACTGACCACAGTTAGGATGAAAAGCTTCACACACAGCAAAAGAAAGTTCAGTTTAAAAGGCTCACCTTTGCTCATGACAAGGCTCTCCTTTGAAATCAGTAGGTCTGTCCTTAGACCTGTCACTCACAAAGCTCGGTTCAGGTCCAGCTCCAGGTCCAGGAGAGTCTGGTCTCTCATGTTTGACTCTGACAGAAACACAAAAACTGATGAAGACAAGAACACAGAAAATCTTCCAGATTTGACCTGTTCAGGTCTTTGACTGACAGACAGACAGACAGACAGACAGACAGACAGACAGACAGAGGTCTGAGTGTGAACAATAGTGATGGTGAAGTGATGTAAGTGCTGAGCTCTGACATGGAGAACAGTCATGGACAGTTGGAGATCCTCATCTCACCTCTGAGCTTTGGTCTGGTTGCCATGCCCCCCCCCACAGAGTGGTTTTAGAGGGAGGGGCTCCCTCCTCTCTGTCCTTACACTGATTCATAGCAGAGCCCCCACCTTCACACAAACACAACAACATGCTCAGTCAGTACGACAAACTTTACACCTCATTACACCTTCAGTTCTCATTCCTCTCAATAACATGACACAAATTTTTCAGGACTGACAGAAACCTTGTTACAGCTGCAGTGATTGTTTGAGACCCCATGATAGCTGAGGAGTCTCAAACAATCACTGAGTCCACTTCCACCTTTGGCAGGCTCTGGCCGATCTAAAAGAATCTGGACCACGTATTCACACCGTGATAAACATCAGTCACCTGTCTGACCAAAACAGCCCCTCTCATCCCACAGATACACCTGTGTTCACCAAGCTACAGATTTCACAGCAGCTCATTACTCCACCCCACTGTTTAACGGAGATCTGACATAAAATAACAGAGGGAACGTGACTTTAAAAAAATATACTGCTGTAATGTATCAACAGTCTCAACATAAAAGCTCCTGAACCAAGTTGATCCAGGCTGTCAGACCGGTTCAGACACTCCCTGCACCCTTCCCCGATGGTGTGACTCAGATTACTGAGTCGGTTGGTGTTTGTGGAGTCAACTGTTGCTGAGTTGACTCCACAAACACCAACTATAGAGCAGGTGGATCTGTCTGAAATCACTGCTCTTTAACTCAGAGAGAAATTCTACAACATGTTTCAAACAGCCAAATAGCATAAAGAAAGATTTCTACAGTTCGACAGAGACCCAGCACCATGTGAGCACACTGATCCTGATCCTCAGACATGAACAGATTTCCTTCAAAGGATCCTCACCTGTTGAAGTGAGTTCAGGTCAGCTTACAGACACTTTTTGGAGATAAGAAGCTGCTCGTTTGTCTCTTGTCATTCCTGGTGTCTGTGAGCATTTGATCTTAGGACGTTGTCACATCCTCATAACTTTATAGTGACGTTAGAATCCACTCAGTGTCAGATTTCACACAGAGCACCGGATGTAGTTCTACTATCAGACCACTTGATAGTGCCAACCAACCTCCTAATGAAACAAACAGAGGCCTTTTAGATCTAAGACACATTTCACTCATTGTTGACCTTAAGTTAGTGTCCTCTGGCACTTATATATTATAGTAAACAATGTAAAATACTGTCTACACATTTGCCCAGATCATGATCAATTTGTTTTATTATTGATTGAATCACGACAGAGAAGAACACTGAATGCAGTTGTGATGGCCTCCTGCCTCTAACACCTGCTCGTGTTTTTGTATTTTCCCCTATTTTGGTGTCTTGTCCTTTCTGCAGGTTAGGAGGTAGGGTTTGCCATATCTGGGTGAACCTGGCAAGTCCACCTGGTGTATAAAAACTGGTCATTAATGTTTCTCCTTGCCAGCTGCTGCTCAGCTCAGCTCTGCTCTGATTCTACCCTGCACTGCTGCAGCTCTTCCCTGCAGCTTTGGGGCTCCATGTTGCACTATGGTTTAGTTTGTTAAATCCTCTGTTAGTGTTAGTTGTCATTTAATTTGAGTTGTTAATCATGTAAATCATCTTTGTAATGAAAATCCTTTTATTATTCTTAGTTAACTCCTCATTTTTTGTCTTGACACAGTCTACAGCCTATTATAGTATGTCAAATAGCTCAGACTAGCAGTATTACTTTATTAAACATGTAATTACTTCACTTTGGTGAAAATCCTTGTTGCAGTCATGTCCTTCGACAGGGATGTGAAGAGGATTTTAGAGGGGCAGGAGCTCAAACTCACTAAAAGGCTTTTTTTTTAACAAATAAATATACTCCTGAAATGTTAAACTTTATAACACTGTTAAAGAAACTTTGAAATATGTACTCAAAAAAAGTCATGACTCAGGGTAGTTTAAATACTGATACAGTAAATAATAATGCATGCATATCATTCCTATGAGCCATTTCTGGAGTCCAGATTCAGCAGTATTTGTCAGCTATCTCTCTTCTTTATTGGGTGTCACTGCTAATACAAATAGAAACCATCTTACCTGACATATGGAAAAAGAAGAACTACACAAAATGCTTTTCATCTGGCAGCATGTCTGCCTACCTCCCTTCACTTCCATATTCATCTAATACCCTCTTAGTAGAAGGCTTACCTGCTAAAAAAGTAAGTTAAAATGATGCTGGTGTTGTACAGTGAACAAACTACAAGCCAAAAATACTGGGACTTTTGTTAGCTAACTAGTTATGGTGCTTTGGGTCTATTCTTTCAGGGACGGGGACACAATAACTCTGCTGTCCATCTTGTACTGATTCCTCCTATGACACTAACCTACTGGCAGATTCAGGATTGAAAAGAGAGCAAGCAGGACTACTCTGAGCTGCTAAATATTTCAAACAAAGACAGATTCTCCTGCCATATAGTATGAGGCACTTCTTTCAGCCCAGAGTGAAAATAGCTATGATCATACTTTTGTCACTTACCTGATATCCTGCCTCAGAAAAGCTTCTCTCACTGATGGTGTCTATACATGCATGTTTGCGATGATACTGCAGGTCAAAGATGAATTTAAGCCCAAAAAACAGAGACGAGCTTGTATCCTCTGTAGTCTACAAACCACCCAGAGCCCACAGTGAATCAAAATGATATGGATGTAAATAGCTTCTGCTATTATTTGATGCACAGTGACTTAATATACAACAATTCTTCAACCATCATGATAATGGAAGTCAAATATTTAATGGTGATAGATAGCTCAACTAGTGAGCTTTTACAGTATGTTGAATTTTGTCAAGTAATCTCCGAAGCTTTTGTTATAAAATAAATCTTTGAATATGAAGTTGTTCATATAAAAAATAATAACAATAACTACGCATGTTGTCATGCTGTCTCACATGCACATTTCCAGCCTTTCTTGGTGACTATAAATTTGACACTATTTTGTAGATTCAACACTTGTGTTGAAGGAGGAATTTGCTTAATTTTAATCCCAGGCATAATTTCTCCATGTTTGGGGTCTAAACAAGAGCTAAGGATTATATTACAAGCTATTCAGAATCCTCTCACTGAAAAGATCTACAGTTGAAAAAAGGAGTTATATAGACCTCAGAAGATGTGAAAATAAAGGACTCAAGATACCTGGACTTCCCCTTTAGTCATGATGTGAAGCCATTTATAAGTTTCTTAACTGACAGGTAGATCAGGGAGACCATGGCCTGCTCTTGGTAATGGCGGTGGCTTAATGAATTATGATAAATATGTTTCAGTCTATTCAACAGGCATGGGACCAAGTCACACATGTCTTAGGTCTTAACATTCAAGTCTCAAGTAAGTCCCAAGTAATTTTTTCTTGGGCAAGTCAAGTCCTGTAATAGATCGGGTCAAGTTCAAGTCAAGTCGCCATACTACTTGCACAATCTGATTTTAATAAAGTGAAAAGACAAGACATTGTAAGATATTAGTCATTGTCACTTCACGTTATAGGCCAATTTATCCATTTCATTGTAAATTACTGATATTCAGTTAAATACATGGAATCAAACTAAATAGTCATGACAGCATGGGCCCTCATGATTTGTTTTTAAGTATTATTAGTTGTGTTTTTAGTTTCTAACTACTCCATTTTTAAACCAGTAAGGGAGACTCGGGCTTGTTGTCAAATGGGTAAGTTGTCACGTTGTAATTATCTTTGCCACCAGAGGGCGCAGCAAAAAAGTGGAATATTAGTTTTATTCCATTACATGGTCAGGGGTCATGTCTTGCCTGAGAAGAGAAGAGCACATTGTGAGTTGAGACGAGCACTAATTCATCATTTCGCACAACCCAAAGTAAAAAAAAATTCACTTTATATATTTTAAAATAAGCTTCATCCAGGTAAAAATTCTAGCGGTGATACATGTGGACTTGTTAGAGGAGACATACAGGCATCCTGTCATACCTCAGTTATTGTTCTGTTTTAAGGTAACTTTAAGCTAGAGCTAGAATTAGCAAACATGGTCGTTTGGGGCAACATGTCTCAGTTATTTTGGGGTTAGTTGTCACATGTTTAAAAGGGATTCAAATTAACATGGAGAGTCTGCTTATCAGCACTTGTCTTATTGATATTTTGACTTTATTTTTACAGAGAAAAGAGAAGAAAGCGAGAAGACATGGTCAGGAATCACAAAAGAAAAACAGAACGTGGCAGTGTCAACTACTGTGTCAACTACCATACCTTAGTTCTGTACTGCAAAACATTCACCTCAGCTGAAATACAGAGTCAGACAGCTCTCCAAACTCCAGT